CTCATCCCTCACACCCTGTCCACGCAATAAGAACCAAAAAAGAATCCTCCTCGTCCTCACGTACCACCCCACCAACCTCCAGATCCAACGCATCATCCTCCGACACTTCTGCCATCTGCAATCCGACCCCACCACCAAAGACATCTTTCCCTCCCCACCCTTATCTGCTTTCCAGAGGGACCACTCTTTCCGTGACTCCCTTGTCCGCTTCACACTCCCCTCCAGCTCCACCACACCCGGCACTTTTCCCTGCAACCGCAGGAAGTGCTACACCTGCCTCCATACCTCCTCCCTCACCCCAATCCCAGGCCCCAAGAAGACTTTCCACATCAAGCAGATGTTTACCTGCACATCTGCCAATGTGGTATACTGCATCCGCTGTACCCGGTGTGGCATCCTCTACATCGGGGAAACCAAGCGGAGGCTCGGGGACCGCTTTGCAGAACACCTATGCTCGGTTCGCAATAAACAACTGCACCTCCCAGTCGCGAACCATTTCAACTCCCCCTCCCATTCCTCAGATGACATGTCCATCCTGGGCCTCTTGCAGTGCCACAACGATGCCACCCGAAGTTTGCAGGAACAGCAACTCATATTCCGCTTGGGAACCCTGCAGCCCAATGGTATCAATGTGGATTTCACAAGCTTCAAAATCTCCCCTCCCCCACCGCATCCCAACACCAGTCCAGCTCGTCCCCGCCTCCCTAACCTGTTCTTCCTCCCACCTATCCCCTCCTCCCACCTCAAGCCGCACCCTCACCTCCTACCGACTAACCTCATCCCGCCCCCTTGACCTGTCCGTCCTCCCTGGACTGACCTATCCCCTCCCTAACTCCCCACCTACACTCGCCTTTACTGGCTCCATCCCCGCCTCTTCGACCTGTTTGTTTCCTCTCCACCTATCCTCTCCTCTATCCATCTTCTATCCGCCTCTCACTCTCTCCCTATTTATTTCAGAACCCCCTTCCCCTCCCCCTTTTCTGATGAAGGGTCTAGGCCCGAAACGTCAGCCTTTCTGCTCCTATGATGCTGCTTGGCCTGCTGTGTTCATCCAGCCCTGCACCTTGTTGTCAAGTATATTGTAAACTTCCCTAATCTAGCTTCTGTCCCTTCTCAACGGTGATCAGCTGGGTGTTGTAACATTGTAAGACCAGGGTTCACGTTTTGAAAACCTTTGCGGGTGACCATATTCCCATTGTGGGGTATGTGATTCTGACTCTTTGTCCTATTTGTAGTTGAGGTAATTCTGTAGCTGCATGCTGGTCATGCAATATCTTTATCATCCTTTATTTGTTGAGAAATACGTCCTATATCCCTGAGAAGTTGGATAGGTGGTGGCTTGGCAAGATTACTCTTGCTTCCGAACATCATCTCTGGTGGAGATTATGATTCCATATCCAGAGATGTAACTTGAACGTGTAACATGGCAACACAAAAGTCTTGTTTCATTGTCCTACGTTTCATGATGAGCTATTTAATAGGCCAAACTGTTTGCTCAGTGTGACCATGTAATGTGCGGTAATGAGATGAGAATGTCTCATGGTTCACACTTAATTTAGAACAGGACCTCCCAGAAAGGCCTGCCCTGTACTATAGCCTGTTGTCAGAAATTATGCCTTTGCATGTGCTGAACAGTCTGAGTGCTGCATTTAATGTGCCTGCCTTGGACATACTTGCAAAGTACTTTACCCTGATGCCTGATCATTAGAAATTTGGAGAAATGATCAGTGACTAAGATGAAGTTGTCTCCATTCACAGCAAAGAGATCAGTGGCAACTTTGGACCATGGGACTAATGACATCTCATGCATGTGAATGTTGTTATCTTGAGGATCTGGCCTTTCTTACATATGCTCACCAACTTTTCAAAATCACTGTTGGTCCCTGGCCAATAGCCTGCATCACGTGCTTGTTGTCCTATTTATACTATGCCCATAGGGCAGCACGGTGGCTCAGTGGCCAGCACTGCTGCCTCACAGCGCCAGGGACCTGGGTTCGATTCCACCCTAGGGCGACTTTCTGTGTGGAGTTTGCACATTCTCCCCGTGTCTGTGTGGGTTTCCTCTGGGTACTCCGGTTTCCTCCCACAGTCCAAAGGTGTGCAGGTTAGGTGGAGTGGCCATTCTAAATTGCCCATAGTGTTCAGGATGTGTAGGTTAGTTGGATTAGCCATGTGGAAATACAGGTCTACACGGATAGGGTTGGGGGTGGGAGAGGTGTGTCTGGGTGGGATGTTCTGAAGGTCGGTGTGGACTTGTTGGGCTGAATGGCCTGTTTCCACGCTGTAGGGATTCTATGATTCTGTGTCCTCTGTGTAGTTACTACAATATGTACAGGTGGAGAACTTCAGACACATACTTGTCTTCCTTTGAAGATAATGCCTCTTCAAATACCAAGTCCAGCTGCATCTGTGTGTATCAGGCCATGTTATGATTTTTGTAATTCAAATGATATAGACTTTTAAAAAATCAATCCATTCAGAGATGTTATTACACACATCTAGAGCAGGTGGGACTTGAACCTGGGTCTCTCGGGCCGAGGCTAGGGACACTACCATTGTGCCACAAGAGAGCCCAAACAGATCATATTTTCACGTGTGTAACTTAAACAAAACACGCCTACATAATGAGGAAGGGTCTGAGGAAGGGTCACCAGACCTGAAATGTTGACTCTGTTTTTCCCTTCACAGATGCTGCCAGACCTGCTGAGCTTCTCCAGCAACTTTGTTTTTGTCACCTACATAATGGTTCAGCGTGACAAGCTCCTAGCACATGTGGCAGCAGTGGAATTCAAACCCAAGCCTCCATAGAGATTGGAGCCTTAATCCAGCGCTTTAGACTGCTTGGCTATGCTACCCACAAATTCCTATTTAATCTATTTTTCTAATCAACCTGTTCAGTGATGTTATTACATGCCTCTGTTGCATGTGGGTCTTGAACCCAGACCGCCTGGTCCAAGAGTAGGACACCTCCACAGTGCCACAAGAGAGCCCGACCAGGCCAACCTTTGATGATAACCTTCTGCTGTGCCTAGTTAGCTGTTTCCAATTGAAGCTGGTCACATTTATGCTGACCAAAATGTACAGTTCAGTTCAGTTTTGAGCACATCTTGTCCTTTGATGTAGATCCAGTGGAGCGTCTGCATGCTTGTTTCTGTTTGGCAATCTGCTCAGTGAGGCTGAGGTAACCATTTTGGTACCAGTTTTGTCATAGTTGTCAAAGTCACATCGCTGTACTTCTCACAGAAGTTACTGTTGTTGGTGCATGACTGCAATTTAATTTCAATGGTTTGTGATCATTTTCACAGTGAATTGCTTTTGAAACATAACATGTCTATAGAACCTTGTGATACTGAACATTAAAGCAAGTGCTTTACACTCTATTGGAATGATTGGCTTACCCTGTGATAGACCTTTGGAACAAATCCAATTGGTTTACCATTGTGCATAACACATGCTTTTAGCTCTTTCTGCAAAGTATCAATTTCCAGGATTGTCGTCTTCCTTAGGTTGTAGTACTGCAGGGTACAGTTTATTGCAGACAGTGCTTGTTTGAGAGATTCAAACATATGTTGATGGTCCTCCTTCCATACATACATAGGAGTTCTCATAATGATGATGCTTCGCTTGAAAAGATTGACTGTATGGTGCCAAGATGTTGAAGAATTGAAGAAGGCATTTCTGCAGGTGGTTTTCGTGTCGTGGGTCAGCCTTTGTCTTGCATGTTCAACTTAACATGGGTTGGTACAATTTGAATGTACAAAGCCAAAAAAAAGATCTGACCGCCATTAACCTGGCCCTTCTTGTTGCTGAAAATGAGCCCTTCTTGCTGAGATACTGGCATCAGTGAATGAAGGTTCCAATCATATTCTTCTTTGGTTTTGCCTAATACTGCAATATCATCAGCAATGTGTATGCATCCATTTTCTGTAATTCTGTCCATATGTTTCTGGATCAAATCTTGGCCAATAAATCAAATGGCAGTTTCTGAAAGCAATATCTTCTAAATGGTGCTCTGAAGGTAATGACTTCTTGATTTCTTTGGCTACTAACCAATATCCATGTTTGGTATCCAGAATGGAAGAGAATTTGTCTCCTGCAAACTTGGGATTGATTTCTTATAGCAATCGAATATTGTGTGAGTATCTCTCTTTAGGGAGTGATTTAGAGGTCTCAGATCTAGTTGGTTGCACCATCCTTCTTTAGCACACAGGTAATTGACTTACACCAGTCTGTGACATGATCCACATACGGATGATACAATTAGATAATGATCAGTGCTGGGTCCACTGCTTTTCGTCATTTATATAAATGATTTGCATATGAATGTCGGAGGTATGGTTAGTAAGGTTGCAGATGACACCAGATTTGGTGCTGTAGTGGACAGTGAAGAACGTTATCTCAGAGTACAATGGGACCTTGATCAGATGGGCCAATGAGCCAAGGAGTGGCAGATGAAGTTTAATTTAGATAAAAGTGAGCTTTGCATTTAGGTAAGGTAAACCAGGGCAGGACTTAAATAGTTAATGGTAGGGCCTTGGGGAGTCTTGTTGAACAGGGGACCTAGGGGTACAGGTCCATAGTTCATTGAAAGTGGAGTTGCAGGTTGACAGGATGGTGAAGAAGGCATTCGGCACACTTGCCTTCATTGGTCAATGCATTGAATGTAGGAGTTGGGATGTCATGTTGTAGCTATACAGTATTGGTGAGGCCACTTTTAGAACTCTGTTCAATTCTAGTCTCCCTGTTATATGTTGTTAAACTTGAAAGGGTTCAGAAAAGATTTACAGGGATGTTGCTGGGACTGGAGGGTTTGAGTTGTAGGGACAGATTAAATAGTCTGGGGCTATTTTCCCAGGAGTGTCACAGGGACCAGCTGAGGGGAGACCTTATAGAGGTTTATAAAATCGTGAGGGGCATGGATAGGGTGAATAGCCAAGTTCTTTTTCCCAGGATAGGGAACTCCAAAACCAGAGGGCATAGGTATAAAGTGAATGGGAAAAGCTTTAAAATGGACCTGAGGGGCAACTTTTTCACACAGAGGATGGTGCGTGTATGGAACGAGCTGCCAGAGTAGGTGTTGGAGATCGGTACAATTACAATATTTAAAAGGCAACTGAATGGATATATGAATAGGAAGAGTTTAGAGGGATATGGGCCAAATGCTGGCAAATGGGACTAGATCCGTTTAGGATATCTGGTCAGCATGGATGAGTTGGACTGCTGGGCCTGTTTCTGTGCTGTATGACTCTATGACTCTGTGACAATGACTGTATAATTGCATTCTGTGTCATCCAGCGTTTTCTTCAGCATTTCCTTTATGTGAACTCTGGGAGGGTTGATTGATGGAATTGAATGAGAGCCATACACCCTGTGCCCATTTGAGTCATCTCAAGGAGTCTTGCATTTCCCCCACCCTGTCCCCCACAGCTCTCTAACTGTAGCAAGTCCCTGAATCTCCTTGTTCCTGGTTCCTCCTCAGGAAACTCACTGTTATCCCAGCAGTGGTCACCACTCCCAGTGAAGAGATCTGCTGATCATTTGATTCACTTGAAGCCCTTGGAGGTAGGAATTCCTCTTGGATAAGGTTACCTTGGATAATCCTGCCTAGAACCAAATACTTGCCAAAATTTGGCTGTGTGGTGAGCTAGACAGTCATGGGTAGGCGCACTGTCCATTTTTACGCTAAAGGTGAGCACCTCCCTCTGTAAAATGCTATTCTTTAACAAGTGATAGAAGGGTAAATGTGGGTGGTCGTACACAGACCCAGACATAAGATTCTCAATGTTATCCATTTTTGTTAGGTGACAATAGAATTCTGAGCCCTGTTATTTGGTTCACAATAATTATTATGATCACAATTAAAGGTGTGGGTTATTTACAGAAAAAAAGTCTAAAAGTACATTGGATTAAGGATTCAAACTTCTGTTTTAGTTAAGCTTCCAAGTGATGTATGGAATAATTATTAAACTGACTCTTCTCCATATTTCTTCACTTTTTTTAATTGCAGGTAATGGACAGTGCCATGCCATTGATTGGAGAATACATTGAGGAAGACAGGCAATTAATAGCAGACTTGGTCATCGAGAAAATGAACCAGCTTCTATCAGAGAATCCTGCAGCATCGCAGCAAAGAGTTGGAATGACACTGAGCCAGGTTAGTAGGCAGACAGTCAAACAGGTTTTCTTCCCTGGTCATATTTCCTCCTGTAATGGTGGGGAATTTTTGCTGGGGTTTGGCTCTAATGAAGATGCTGGGTACTGTCTGACAGAACTGTGGAATGGTTAAGCACAGAAGGAGACCATTCATCCTGCTATGTTCATGCAGGCTCTCTACAAAAGTAACTTAGTTGGTCTACTCTCCAGCCCTTCCCCCACAGTCCAAGTTTTTCTTCCAGGTGTTTATCCAGTTTCCCTATGAAAGTCATGATGGAATTTGCCTTGTCCAGCAGTCAATACATACCAGATCTGACAGCTTACTGCATAAAAAAAGATTTTCCTATATCCTATTGGTTCTTTAACCAGCCTCCTTTAATTGGGTGTCTCTAGTTCTCAATCCTACTGCAATAAGAAGTTTCTTTCTATCTGGAGCACTCATGATTTTGAGTATCTGTATCAAATCACCTCTTAATCTTCTCTAAGAAGAACAACTTCAGTTTTGCAATCTATCCATGTAATTGAGGAGCCTTCTCCCAGAAAGAATTTCATGAAGATTTTCTATATCTGTTGTAAAGCCTTCAAATCCTTGCTATGGTGCAGTGCCCAAAATCAGTGGTAAAACCAATCCCTCCAGAGATCCATTACTCAAAAAAAAACTTAGAATTTCCAGTGGCCAATTTAAAGGAATTAAATATGCAAGATTTTAACAAAAGCTATAACAAAAACTAAAAGCAACATCTGACTGGAAACTTTACACATGCCACTTATGCTCTAAACTACAGGAAATTTCCTTTGTAAATGGTTTAAGGTCAAAATTCTTCCCCCACAGTTATAATTTATTCTGTCCCTTAGGTAGACACTGAATCCTCCTGAAAGCAGTCTGAAGTGATACTTAATCCAAATTGATTCTAAGCCGGAAGTGCTTGCTTCATGTTTTCTTTTTCTGTCGGATAATCTCTAATCCTGAATTTTTATAGTTAGTGTTACCCTGGAGATGACCCACTCTAGTGAAAGCTAGATGAATCTTCAAGTTTTGTTTAAATTCTCACAGACTGACTCTCTTCAAACCAACTGTGAGCTCCCACCCACATTGTTGCATGGTGAACTATGGGCACTGGTTATCTTTACCTCTCAGCTCATCTTATCTCTGTCTTAGATTCTAGCATACTGTGGTGTGAGGTTCAATGATATTCCAGGAAAAAAAAACCCTGTAAACCAATTCGACTTCCTTAGGATTCTGACCTACCCCCAGCACCATCTCCAACATGAATCACGTTGGTCTTGTATCCAATAGAAATAGCAATCTGCTATCTTTTAGACTCCCAACTTCTTTCTTTCTTGAAAATAATTTCAAAGTTTGAAGTATGAACATTTACAAACCTGACATTCCTAACACCTTCCTTGGACTTTGCAGAGTAACAGTCTATTCACAGTCAACATATATGTTTTTGCAATTGTCTACAGGCCTGAAAGCCTTGTAATTTCCAATAAAAATAACCTGGGACCTTCTTTAATCCATAACCACACTGAGCTAGGCTTATTGTCAGGAGAATTAGAACAGGTTATAGACTCACTTCATTCCTCTATTTTACCCCAAACACTGTTCTAAAACACAACAACTTTAAGAAATCTCACATTTTCTTGCAACTGGAAAAACAAGATGAAGGCCAATACTTGAAAAGAACGCAAAAGAAGGAGCAGAGATTAAGGGCTGAAATGGTTGAACTCATTGTTAAATGCAGAAGGCTGTAACATGTCTGATTGAAAGATGAAGTGCTGTTGCTCAAGCCATTAGCAGCAACTCATCCAATAGGTAGCCAAATAGACAGCTTTGCTGGTAACTTGGGGAGCCCAGTAAACCAAAGACAAGAAATGCCAAAGCCTCTTCTGGAATTCTGTGTCCAGTTCTGGTTGCTCAGTTATATGAAGGATATTATTAAGCTGGAGAGGGTTCAAAAGAGATTTACCAGGATATTGCTGGGTATGGAAGGTTTGAGTTATAAAGAAAGGCTGGATAGGCTGGGAATTCTTTCACTGGAGTGTGGGAGGTTGAGAGGTGACCTTATAGAAGTTTATAAGACAGGGAGAGGTAGAGGTAGTTGTCTTTTCCCGAGGATGGGGTATTTCGAGACTGGTGGGCACATTTTTAAGGTGAGAGGAGAAAGATTTTAAAAAGACATGAGGGCAAATTTTTTACACAGCGGGTGGTTTGCTTGAGGAATGAACTTCCTGAGGAAGTAGTGGATGTGGGTACAGTTACAGTGTTTAAAAGACATTTGGATAAATATATGAATAGGAAAGGTTTGGAGGGATATAGGCCAGGAGCAGGCAGGTGGGAATAGCTTAGTTTGGGATTATGTTCAGCATGGACTGGTTGGACCGAAGGGTCTGTTTCCATGCTGTTTGACCCTATGACTCGAAGTCCCATAATGAAAGCACAAAATGCGGTTTGAAACTTCAGTTCCAAAGGAAAATCCTATTGAAATATTAACTCATTTCTGTATTCATTTTTGCTGCTATACCTGACAGGTTTGTCCAAAATGTCTTGTCTCTATTTCAGATTTCCAGTATCTACAGTATTTTGCTTTTGTTGACAAGCAACCTCAACCAGGGACACTTGGAGGACAACCCTGGCAATTAGGTTTGATGTTGCAGGGGATATTGGCCATTGTGATAATGGGAAGAAGGGAGGAAGAAGACATTAATGTGAGAGGGATGTGAGTGTCTTGTGGTTGGAGATGGAACAAAGAACGCCACAGAAAGGTTTGGTGGCATGAGCACGGGAGACAGTGACAAGGCAAAAGAGGTATTCAGTGTTGGTGGGGTGACAGAACTTGGCAATTCAGAGGAACAGGTGAGAGGCCATGGTTAGCAATAGGGCTGTGGTTGAACAAAGGATTCTTACAGCTCCAAGCCCACAAGAACTGCTAAATCACCCACTTAAATTTGTCAAGGTGTTAGCTACCATCTTCCCTTGATGGCTGTCTTTCCGAAACCCGTACAAGTCTGAATAGAAGCAGGCAATTTTAATTCAGGCTCCCAATTTCTTGTCCAAAACGGGGACACTCAGATGCCTCAAATGCATCACTGTAAATATGACAGTGGTCAGCAGCTTAGGAAGTATTTGATAGTTTAACCTCTCATCCATCATGAAGGTATTAATATTGAGACAAACTGTCTGTGTTGAAAACTTAACTTGAAAGTAGCATCCTAATGGCAAGAAGAGATGGTCTTCACAAGTTTAGAAGTGACTTGGACTTGGCACCCCTCTAAATATATAGGCTTTAGCCAATGCTTCTTTAGCAATGGTTTCTCTATTCATTGTTCTATCATAGCTTTGCACTTCGCATATTTATTATTCGCTACTATTCCCTTTCTCTTTATATTGGTACACTTTGACAAAATCATTCATGGATATTGGGTTAGCTAATACCACCCAGCTGTATCTCTCCATCACCTCTCTCCACTTCCAATGCCAATGTCTAGCCTTGTATGAGCTGACAATTCTTCCAGGTAAGCACTGTAAAGGTTGCAGCCATTGTCTTCAGGGCCACACGCTATTCCCTCACCAGAAATCTCATTCCTCTCCCTCTCCACTGTCTATGGTGTTTCCAATACTGTCTCTTCTAATTACAAAAATAAATCACTTTCAACTTCTGTAGCATGGCACTCTTTTATTGTCGAAACTCTCATTCGCGCTGTTCTCACTTCTAGGCATGATTACTCCAGTGCTGTTCAGGTTGACCTCTCACTCTCCACACTGTATAAACTCATAGGGTCTGTGAAATAACTCCACAGAGGCTGGTATCCTGTCATCAAATCACCTTTATTTACACGTGGAGAGTCTTTGACACTGTCCAGCTCCCTCAGAGCCAGCTTTCGAGTGAACAGGATGTCTGACAGTCCTGTTCTTATCTGTCAGCCAGGGCTTCCTGATTGGACCAGGTTAACAGCCCCAGTCAGGGAATTCATATTCTATGACCTCATTACAATCACTACACTCTGTAATGATTCAATCCTTTTTTTTCTGTTTGTTTTCCTGTGTTAAATCCTGCTCAGCCATCACTCCCTGCCCTTTTTGACCTACAATGGGTACTGGTTTCTTAAGTCTCAACTTTAAACTTGCTGATCATTTACCAGTCTCTGCATGGCATCACCGTCACTATGTTCCTGCAATCTCTTCCAGTTTTCAAGTTCTGTATCCATTTTTTAATCTTCGAAGAGTTTTTCTTAATGTTTTATATTTTTCTACACGAATAGTAGAACAAAATGCACATTTTGTACCTTCACTGATCACAAAGAACAACTATTTTGTCCAGCTACATCAAAACTTCCAATGACCCGAGGTTATCTGCAATTTTTTTTTTCTTTATGATTTTATGAGATGAGGGCATTGCTGGCTAGGCAGTATTTATTGCCCACCCCTAATTGCCCAGAAGGCAATTCAGAGTCAACCACATTGCTGTGGGTCTGGAGTCACATGTAGGCCAGACCAGGTAAGGGTGGCAGTTTCCTTCCCTAAAGGACATTAGTGAACCAGATGGAGTTTTCCAACAATTGACAAGGATTCACGGTCATCATTAGATTCTTAATTCCAGATATTTATTGAATTCACATTCCACCATCTGCCATGGAGGGATTTGAACCCGGGTCCCCAGAATGTTATCTGGATTAACAGTCCAGCGATAATGCCACTAGGACATCACCTCCCCCGTGTAAAGTTATATTTTAAAATATGCATTCCATCACAATGATTTGCCAGGGATGGAAGGAGGAAGTGAAGAGCTGTTTCTTTTCCTTCAAATCAATATTTTCCTGAGTCTCTTATGAATTTGAAAATGTCATTCTCCAAAATAAGCCAGTGATATGTCACTCTTTCAGTTCTTGGAACTATTCCTAAAAATCACTTTTCTTGCCTGGATCACACGTTTATTATATCCACAGTATTGTGAGATTCATTTTCAACATCCAATAGATTCTATTATACAGAGATCTCCCTCAGGGTTCAGTGGATTTTTGCTGAACTAGTTAGGAGCTTTAGTCTCCAGGGAGTGATGTACTGTCCTAATGACAATTGAAGTGTTGCCCAGCTCCTGCAAATATCCCTACATTCACTTTAATCTCTTTATATCAACAGGTTCAGCCTCAGTCAACAAAAACACAAGTGCATCCTGTGCCAGGAGCCGCTTCCCAGTGGGGCCAGCAAGGCCAAGCTCGCCCAGCACCTCAAGGTGTGTATTACATCTACAACTATATGGGGAATTGGACCAACAGAAAGGCAATTCATATATGGAACTAAACAAATGCCTTTAATATATATTTATCAAACTGGCAAAGTAAGGGAGCATGATGGAATGCCCCATACATTTGTCCTTGCAAAATAGTCGTGATTGTCAGTTGAACTGTTTTGTAAAATTAAGCAGTTAAGTACCCTTCATTCAGGGTATAAGTTTACCACTGCTTTCAAAATGAACTGAGATATGCTGGCTACAGTTCTGAGATTAGTCAAATGATCATCATTGTATCAAGTGTAACATTTCAGAAACCTGCTTAACCTGATTTTAATACTTGTCTTTCATATGTAGCTTATAGTAGCAATTCACCTTGTTTTTCATAGTGTAACTTGATCTAAAATCCTTTCCATGAAGAAATAATGTAAGAATTAGCAATATTGAGGGGAAAAAAATGTACAGTGACATAATGGAAACATAACAGTAAGTAACTCACATCCTGATTCCCCTAAGCCTGTTCACTATACAAGGCACAAGTCAGGAGTGTGATGGAATACTCCTCACTTACCCGGATGAGTGCAGCTCCAAAAAGACTCAAGAAGCTTGAAACCATCCAGGACAAAGCAGCCCACTTGATTGGCACTACATCCACAAGTATCCATTCCCTCCACCACTGACGCTCATTAGCAGCAGTGTGTACTATCTACAAGGGGCACTGCAGAAATTCACCAAAGATCCTCTGACAGCACTTTCCAAACCCATGACCACTTCCATCAAGAAGGACAAGAGCTGCAGACACATGCCAATATCGCCACCTGCATGTTTCCCCTCCAAGGCGCTCACCATCCCGACCTGGAAATATATCACAGTTTCTTCGGTGTTGCTAGGTCAAAATCCTGGAACTCTCTCACTGAGGGCTTTGAAGATCAACCTACAGCACACAGACTGCAGTGATTCAAGAAGGCAGCTCAACACCACCTTCTCAAGGGCAGCTAGAGACAGGCAATCAATGCTGACCAGCCGGTGACATCCATATCACACGAGTGAATAAAAAGACAAATGGTCGACATGCCGTCTCTCACTCTCTCGGCCTATCAACTGGATGCTGTGTTGAAGAATATGGGACAAAGATGGGGGCTGAATCTTCACTTCATGGTTGAGAAACAGGAGCCAAGTGTGTTTTTGGATCCTGAACTTGCCCTGGGGGTGAGGAGAGAAGGGAACAGTCACTTGCTGGTATTTTAACATGGAGATGGATTCCCTATACAATTAAGATGGTGGGCAGGCTCTCCAAACTGGATTGGGTTATGTAGTGTTAAGGGTTGGGTGTCTACAGGGAGTCCTGTGGCTGAACCCCACCCAGAAAAGCAGAGATGGCCTGTGGGAAAAGTTCGGTTGGCCTCTATTACTGACCCATAATGAGCCTCTAATTGAGGCCAATGGATGTCCCAAACCCACCTCAGCCACAACAGCAGATGTTGGGAACAGGTCAGACACTGGCATACCAGCCAATGGCAGTATTTTGAGGCTCTATCCACCTTTGTTGCTGACCTCAACATGGCCTGTAAATCCAGCCAAAGTATGGTGGGGGGTTTGAACAATAATTTAATAAAAACATCTGCCACAAAGTTGATATATGGCACAGAGCCTTTATTAAGAGTTAAGTATGGTGCTTTGTTATACATGATAATTCCAATGGAAGGCAGTGTTTCTGCTTCAGTGAAACCTGGGGATGCATGAAATGGAAAGACATGTAACTTTTCAAAAGCCAAGACTGGTGAATAAGGTTAGGTCACATGGGATCCAGGGAGAGACAGTCAATTGGATGCAAAATTGGCTTGATGACAGAAGACAGAGAGTGGTGCTAAAGGGTTGTTATTTGGACTGGAGGGCCTGTAACCAGTAGTGTGCCACAATAATTGGTTTTGGATCCACTGTTATTCATCATTTATGTAAACGAATTGGAGGAGAATATGCAGTTAGTAAGTTTGTGGATGACACCAAAATTGGTGGTACAGTGGACTGTGAAGAATGCTATCTAAGAGTACGAGATCTTGATCAGATGGGCCAATGGGCTGAGAAATGGCAGATGGAGTTTAATTTAGATAAATATGAGTGCTACATTTTGTTAAGGCAAACCAGGGCAGGACTTTTACGGTTAGTGGTAGGGCCCTGAGGAGTGTTATTGAATGGAGGAACCTAGGTGCAGGTTCATAATTTGTTAAAAGTCACAGGCAGACAGGGTGGTTCAGAAGGCATTTGGCACGCTTGCCTTCATTGGTCAGAGCATTGAGTATAGGACTTGGGACATCATGTTGTGACAGTATAGGATTTGGTGAGGCTACTTTTAGAATACTGCATACAATTCCTGTCTCCCTACAATAGGAAGGATGTTGTTAAGCTAGAAAGGGTACAGAAAAAAATTTGCAAGAATGTTGCTGGGCTTGGAGTTATAAGGAGGGAATGGATAGGCTGGGACTTTTATAACAGGTGTAGAAAATCATGAGGAGCATAGACAAGGGGAGTCCAAAACTAGAGAGCATAGGTTTAAGGTGAGAGGGGCAAGATTTAAAAAGGAACTAAGGGGCAACTGTTTCACACAGAGGTGGTGCAGGTATGGAATGAGCTGCCAGAGGTGGTTATAAATACAATATTTAAAACACATCTGGACTGGTACATGAATAGGAAAGATTTAGAGAAATATGGGCCAAATGCAGGCAAATGGGACAAGTTCAGTTAAGGAAACCTGGTCAGCATGGGAGAGTTGCACCAATGGTCTGTTTTCATGCTGTATGACTCTTTGACTGGCAGGACTTATCCCATTTCAGTCGACATGAAAGATTAAAATGAGGCTTGAAATACAGCTCTATTACTTTCCCCTAATTTTACATATCAGAAAATTGGATTGGTAGTGGCTTGGAAAAAGCTATGACAACTTTCACAACAACAGGAGACTGCCTGTGTATTAGAAACTGTCTACAGCTCAGTCTGCAACAGATGGTGTACTTTAATGACAGCATCTTTGATGAAATGGAGGCAGCTTTTTAACTGGAACCTTTCACAGCAATAGGAACTAATGCAGGTTACAAAATCAACATTAATGCTTTGAGGGGGAGAAAAATACACAAATTCAGACCCAGTGCTTGTTGCAGGAACCTGGTTTAAATAATGTTAACTTCAGCGGGTCACAGTGGATAAGTTGTCTCCATATTTTGAGTGAGGTGAGCAGAAACAGCAGCTACCTAAAGACTAAGTTAATTCTTACAGAATCTGAGAAATACAATTAACATTATGTTGAGACAAATAGATTACAAATTCCCTCATTCTCTGTTTAAAAATTCATTCATAGGATTGCACATGTTGCTGGCAAGGCTGGCATTTATTGCCCATCCCTAATATCCCCTGAGAAGGTGGCGATGAGCTGTCTTGTTGAACTACTGCAGTCCTGGGGATGTTCACCTATAATGCCATTAGGATGGGAGCTCCAAGATTTTGAACCAGGAACAGTGACGGTACACTGATATAGTTACAAGCTAGGATATAAATAGCTGGAGAAACTCAGTAAGTCTGGTAGCATCTGTGGAGAGAAGAAGAAAGGATCTAGGCCCGAAACGTCAGCCTTCCTGCTCCTATGATGCTGCTTGGCCTGCTGTGTTCATCCAGCTCTGCACCTTGTTGTCTCAGTTAACATTTTGAGTCCAGTATGCCTTTTCTCAGCATGGTGTGCATCTCGGAGGGGAACTTGCAGATGATCATGTTCTTACATATCTGCTGCCCTTGTCCAGCTAGGTGGTAGTTTGCAGATCTGGAAGCTTCTATTGCAGGAGCCTTGGTGAGTTATTGCACTGCATCTTATTGATGGTACACACAACTATCATCGTGCACCAGTGGTGAAGGGAATGAATGCTGAAGGTATTGGATAGGTTGCCAATAAATGGTCTGCTTTGTCCTGGATAATGTCAAACATTTTTAGTGTTTTTGAAGCTGCACTCATCCAGACAAGTGGAGAGTCTTCCATCACCCTGTTGATCTGAGCAATGTAGATGGTGGGCAGTTATGGGGACACAGGAGGTGAGTTACTTGCAAGAGTATTCATATGGCTGGCTCAGCTCAGTTTCTGGACAGTCGCAAGCCCCAGGATGTTGATAGTAGGGGATTAAGCAATGGTAAAACTGCTGAATATCAAGGGGTGACAAACTATCCCTTGTTGTAGCATAGATATAATTTGCCACTTATCCGTCCAAACCAGGTTGTGTTCTATGTCTTGTTGCATATGAACATGAACTAATTAAGTATCTGAGATGTTACAAATGGTCCAGAACATTATGGAACCATCTGTGAACAACCCACTTCTGGCCTAATGATGGAGGAAAGGTTAGTGATGAAGCAGTCGAAGATGGTTAGCCTAGAGCATGATCCGGCAGATATCTGGGCTAAAATGATAGACCTTTTCCATCTTCTGTTGTATTAGAACTACTTGTATTGTTGAAATGTGAAGGACAGTCACTCTCACCTCATCTCTGGAGTTTAGTTCATTTGTTCATGTTTGGACCAAGTGGCCCTGGCAGAACCCTAACTAAGCATCAGTGAGCAGGTTCTTTCTGTCCAAGGACCACTTGACAGCACTGTTAATGACCCCTACCATTAACATATCGGTCAAGTTGGATTTGTCCATTTTGTGCACAAGATGTACTGGAAAATTTTCCATGTGCTTTACCTGTATTGGAACAGCTTGGCTAGGGGCACAACTAGTTCCGAAGTACATCTTCAGTACTATTGCCTGATTGTTGTCAGGGCCCATTGCTCTCCCAGTATACAATGCCTTAACCATTTCTTGATATTATGTGGAGTGAATCAAAATGGTTGAAGACTGGTAACTGTGATGGTTGGAACCTCTGGCAGAGGCTGAGATGGTTCACCCACTTGCTTCAGTGTTGTGCCTTGTACTGATATGTTGGACCCCAAACCCTTATCATAATTGAGGATGGGAACAGTTATCTTTACTTACAGTGAGTTACATAGTTATTTACTACCATTCATGACTGGATGAGACAGAGCTTAGACCTGATCTGTTTGTTATGTGATAGCTGTCTATTGCCTGCTACTTCTGCTGTAGTCTGTACTTGCACACAAGTATTCCCACTTAGTCGCTTCGCCAGGTTGACTGATAAAAATGAAGTGTGCCTGGCATATCCCTGTCCTTCACTGCAAAGCAGCTGACTTTTAGGACTCCAGATCAAGGCAGATGGAAGCAGCGCTAATTGCTGAGCAGGAGAGAGAACTAATAAGCAACTTATTCCAATCTGTACTGTGCCTCTCAGTGCTCAGTTTGAGTGGCAGAGGTCATGAATTGTCTGTACAACAAAAACAAAACACACAGACTCCATCCCCAAAGAAATCTCCTGAAAATAAATGCTATGGGGTCCCCTGTGTGTTTAGTAAGCATTGATCAGTATTTCACAATCAAAAGTGGCTCTCAGATTTTATGACTCCAGTTCAAGTTTTTTTTTATTATTGGATTAATTGCCCATAACTTAAAGTTGTCCTGAACTCTACATGTGCAGAAATCATGCAAGTTGTTCAGAGCCTGATGCATTTTCACAGTTCATTCCTGCTTTATCTCCAGGGAAGGTATACCTGACCTTACTTTATTATGGACTATTCTTGCCATGATAAAGGCAACTGATGAACTGCTGTTTGTAGTATCGCCTGAGAAGTCTTTAAGTAGAAAGTTTCAAAATGCCTGAGGATGCATTGTTCTAGGCCACACAAAGCTTGTGGAAGATCACTTAGGAGGAAGTACTGTAAGAGGGATAAGAGAAAGAAATCAGATTTCATTAAATTTGCATTTTTTTTTCCTTAAATGCAGGAAGCCCACGACAACCCCAAAGTCCTCAGATTCAGCGTTCCAACACAGTGCCTCATCAAAGGCCTTCTCCACAGGGCCAGCAACCCCAAAGTCCTCAGTCCAGCACAAATCAGCAAGAGAAATCTCCAAGTTCGGGTTCTCCAAAACAGGTCAAATCAGCAGGCACCTCTCCTAATCAGTCATACAAGCCTGGAGCTTTCTCTGCACAGCCATCAAGGCCTCCTGCTCCAGGCCAAGCCCCTTCACAACCAAGATCTGGGGGAACAAACCTGCAGCAACAGAGCACAGCACCACCACAGCCACTGCTCAAGTAAGTAGTTCAAAGGGGCAGTTTTACAAAGATAATATTTAAATTTCTTAAACAGTATTTTCCTCTCTCACTCCTCCCAATGTTCTTTCCCAGCCAAGTTGGTAGCTAAGTCTTCCTTACGGTTTCCTCTCAATACAGCTGTCTAAGAGGCAACTGAATCATGCAAGAAAAGTTCGGTTAGCTTATCCAACATTCCTCTCTTTGCACCGTATTCCCTATTGAGTGTGTGTTGGAATGAAGTAGTAGTTACCAGTTCAGTTCTTACTCTGGTATTTTTTTTTCTATTCATTTGTGGGATGTGAGCGTCACTGACTAGGCCAGCATTTCTTGCCTATCCCTAGTTGCCCTTGAGAAAGTGGTGGTGCGCTGCCTTCTTGAACCACTGCAGTCCACCTGCTGTTGGTTGACCCACAATGCCATTAGGGAGAGAATAATGTGCCATCATAGAGGTTGGGTGACATGGTGTGAAGTACTAAAAATGTAGTATCTATCAGTATCACAGGTGTACTAAGCTAAGGCAACATCAGACCATGAGCCTGCCAAAATATTGGCTTCCATTCTCTTTAATATCTTTTATTGTCATAGCTGTCATGCTTTTGTCAGCCTTAGCTATTGGTAAGAATAGATTTACAGATATGAAAAGCAATAGGTTCAGGAATTTAACAGCTGTGTTTTGGCAACCTTTCTGCATGCTGAATATTTTTCTCAAATTCATAAATATTTCATATAGTATAGACGTTCTTCCGTACAATTGTGACCATCCTAAGGACTAACATCATACCTGAAAAAGCTAGCACAAGTGAGCTTAAAGAGCATCGGGGAGGCAATTGCCTAGTGATTTTTTTGCTGGACTATAAATCCTGAAACTCAGATAACGTTCTGGGGACCTAGGTTTGAATCCTGCCATGGCAGATGATGGAATTTGAATTCAGTAAAAATATCTGGAATTAAGAATCTAATGATGACCATGAATCCATTGTCAATTGTTGGAAAAACCCATCTGGTTCACTAATGTCCTTTAGGGAAGGAAACTGCCATCCTTACCTGGTCTGGCCTACATGTGACTCCAGACCCACAGCAATGTGGTTAACTCTGAACTATCCTCTGGGCAATTAGGGATGGGCAATAAATGCTGCCTGGCTAGTGACGCCCTCACCCCGTGAACGAATAAGCAAAAACAACCCTTTTGGAATTAATCCAATTGCTGGACCAATTAAATCTGCTGATTAGTGAAGTTTGAGTTGCAAAAAAGGAAGAAAGTATGATGTATAATCGCATGAAATATTTGTACCTGATACAAAATTAATGGCCAGAAGATCTTCTACCAACTCCCTGTCTTAATTCTTGATATGTAATCTGAGTGAGCAAAGCTGTCTGGCGAGTGTTAATTTATACAATGTACTTGTTTGACATTGCCTCGGAGTTGGGCCACAAAAATGCTTACAGTGGATGATGAAAATATTACACCAGTACCATACATACATAGCTCTGAGTTTTGGGTTTCAGTAAATTGGTAAACCTCATCAGAGGAAGTTTTACATCTAAGAACATTAAAATTCATCTAGTTGTGTCGGATGGTGACTTATTGGATGACTGAAATGGGACATGCCCCCCTCCAAGTTTAATCCCCCTTCAGTTTGAACACAAACAAAATCACCCATAATTAAATTTATGATATGCACTGAAACAGTGGGGACTATTTAAACAATTTAGAAGTGAATGCTGTTTTATTAAGTATGTGGGCAATAGTTCTTGCATTTAGATAATTCAAGCATGACAAATAGTGCAGCTAACAGAAACCTCTCATTTAACTTCCCTTTCAGCAAATCACAGTCATTGACAAACAGTTTCAGTGTTACAGAATCCTCTCAGCGTACTGGCACCAACGAAGATGAAGCAAAAGCAGAAACAATTCGGAACCTAAGGAAGTCCTTTGCGAGCCTCTTTTCTGATTAACTCTTTACAGTATTCTCATTGAGTTAATATAATAGGTTAAACTGGAAACTTGGTAAGAGCTCAGATGGAAATAACTGGAATATGAGGTGCACACTCCCTCACTTGATCAATGGATAGTGCATTTCCCTTTGTGGATAACAAGCTGTAAAATGAGGTATTGTTTTCCAACTTGGCCAAGAGGCAAAACAAAATTCCTGCTATACCAGGTGTGTGCAGATGTAAGTGTATGTGACGTGAATAACTGTGCACTTTATCTCTCAAAGCAGCTTTGTTGAGTGTTGTATCGAATGCTGTAATCAGAGAATCATCATTTATTTGGATTTTAAAAGCTGTACAAAATGAACTAGACACTATTCCCTGACCACACAACCAGTACATCCATCCAATCTAATTCACCATGGAAAAACCCACGCCCTCCACCAGTACGTGGGATACACCTGTATCCCCCACACAGATGACCTAAAAGCCTTCTGCTTCTTCCTCTCCTACAGGCCCAACCAGTCACCGTTCACCCCCCTACACCCCCAGACCCCACCGATACCTTCAACTTTTTCTTTTAACTCATCCCACTTCCTACAAACTAAACAGGTGACTAGGTGACTATGGGCACCTGTATGAATCCAAGCTATGCCTGCCTCTCCATTGGATATGTGGAACAGTCCCTCTGCCGCTGTTACGCTGGCACCATCTCCCACCTCTTCCTTTGTTGCATTGATGACTGTATCGGCGCTGCCTCGTGCTCGTGTGGGGAGCATGAACAGTTCATCAACTTTACTAACACCTTTCACCCCAACCACAAATTCGCCTGGACCATATCTGGTACCTCCCTCCCTTTCCTGGACTTCTCTGTGTCCAGGAGCCATCTCAGCACCGACATTATTCCAAACCCACCAATTCCCTTAGCTACCTTGACTACACCTCCTCTCACCCATGCTCCTGCATGAATGCGATCCCATACTCCCAATTCCTCGTCCTCCACCCCATCTGCTCCAAAGATGGGGTGTTCCACTTCCAGATGCCCTCCTACTTAAACGACCGCAACTTGCCCTCAATCGCATTTCTTGCGTTTCCCGCACCTCTGCCCTCAAACACCCTCTCTGCAACAAATATAAGGGACTGAGTCCCCCGATCCTCACATACCACCCCACCAACCTCCACATTCAGTGTATCATCCTCCGCCACTTCCGCCAGCTGCAATCTGACCCCACCACCAAAGAGATATTTCCCTCCCCACCCCATCTGCCTTTCGTAGGGACCGCTCACTCCATGACTCCCTCGTTCACTCCACACTTCCCACTAATCCCATCACCCCTGGCCCCTTTCCCTGCAACCGTGGGAGGTGCTACACCTGCCCCTACACCACCTCTCTCAACTCTGTCCAAGGCCCCAAACAATCTTTCCAAATTTGACAGAGAGTGACCTGTACATCCTCCAACCTGGTCTACTGTATCCGTTGCTCCCAACGTGGTCTTCTCTACATCGGTGAGACCAAGTGCAAACTTGGTGACCGATTCGCAGAGTATCTGCGCTCTGTACGCTATAAATCAACACCACCTTCCGGTTGCCAACCATTTTAACTCCCCCTCCCACTCCCTTGGTGACATGTCCATCCTGGGCCTCCTCTAGTGTCACAATGACACCAGCCGCAAACTGGAGGAGCAACCCCTCATTTTCCGCCTCAGGACCTTACAGCCTTGTGGCCTCAACATTGAATTCACCAGTTTCAAAATCATCCCACCCCCGGCTTCATCCCATGTCCAACCCTCCTTATCCCTGCCTCCTTGACCTGACAAAACCTGTCCATCTTCTTTCCCACCTGTCCACCCCACCCATCCCACTGACCAATCTCCACTACCCCCTACCTGCATCCAACTATCACCATTCCACCTACCTTCCCTTAGCCCTACCCCAACCATCTATTTGTGAGCTCCCTTCCCCCACCCCAGGTCTGAAGGTGTAAACCCAAAACATCAACTTTCCTGCTCCTCTGCTGCTGCCTGACCTGCTGTGTTCCTCCAGCTCCGCACTGTATTGACTCTGACTCCAGCATCTGCAGTTTTTACTATCATCCAATCCATTTGGGTCATTCCCATGTTTTCATGTACATCAATTTCATACAGCTCTGAATTGTGACTTCATCTCTTCTTTCTTATTCTTCTACTGATTCAGTTCCCGTTTGAATCCTAGATATTCCATTATTTTGCATTATAAACATGGAAAATTTTGCTCAGTATCAGAGACAGAAATAAGGTAAACTAACTTCAATGGGTCAAAACCACTTTAGACAAGCACTGACCTCTAGAGACCTTTCTTATTTAGTAAACATCAGGAAAGTATTTCCCAGTCTGGGCTGAAAATACGGAATGATTATCAACTAGATCAGAAACCAAGCACGACCTCCCCCTATTTATTATGGAGTCTTTACAAGGCAGGGTAGGCATTTTTGCTGAAAAACATCAGATATGATTCTGTGGTTGGACAACATTTGCTAAGTAATCCCGAATAAGCTAAGAATTACACTATCAAGCAATACAGATTAATATACAGGGCCCTGTTGTAGTCAGAATATGTACATGATATCCTTTCTTTGGCTAATTTCTCGGGGCATTGCCTTGACCAAAGTCAACATGCCTAATTTAAATTTAAACTATGCTTGATAGTTAACTGCCAGACGTCATCTGGTTGATGCATTTTCCATAGCAGCACTGCTACCAGAATCCACTTTTCCAACCAATCAGTACTGTTCTCTCATTCTATAAGCGTTTCCCTTTACATCGGAGTAGTTTATAAGAAATACCAAGTGCAGGATGAAAAACAAAGATCTGCCCTACCAAATGACTATTTTTAGATATCTTTTCTAGCTAATTTAACATTTAGAAGATTAGAAGGGGAATGAATGCAATTGGGAATTGCCTACAGTTGTATTCCATTTTTATCTGTAAGTAGATGCTATTCTCAGTTCATCAATCCAATCAGAAATAAATTAGTGATGGCTGACGTAAACAGGAGGACTTGGAACTTTCAAAAGGCTCTCCCTTTTGTGCCTGCATTTGAGATCAGTGAGAATTCTTATGTGTTGTATCCAGAGGCAGACTTTTAAGTCATGTAAAAATACAAGCTCCCAACAGGACGACAGAATGGGTGGGAAAGCACCGATGAGTCAAAGTCAGATATTAGGACTGTTTTCACAGGCACATAGAAGTCTAAGAGAATATGTAATAGATGTTTTTGTTTTTATAATGGCTGGGCAATGTAGTGAAACTGTTCCTGCTTGGAAAAGAAACAAGAATAAGAAGGCATAAATTTAAAGTTGGGTGCAAAGAAACTTCTTGTCTTATGACTAGCCCCAGTTTTAACCCTATACTTCACAGGCTTAGAGAAAGCATATGGGATGCAATGAGGTTGATCACAGCATCAGGGTCTATGCTATGAGGAGCCACTGAAAGAATATGAGCTTTTCAGGTTACAAAGCAGGCTTGAGATAAACAAGATAAAGCAATGACAAATGTTAATAAGGACTTTTACTTCAATTTAAACTGAAGTAGTAGAATTTGAGAAAACAGGTTTAAACAAATAAAAAAGGTTATTTGAGCATTGATAAAGAAAGTTCTAAACTAAAACTCCAAATATAATGGAGCTAAATTAGGGGAATACTTTAAGAAATAATCTTGCTCCAATAGATATTAGGAGCCATGTAGATGGATAAAGATGGCTGAATAGCCTGCTTCATCTGTAACTATCTAATGGCAATTGGCTTGATTAAATCTTGAGGAAAGCTGTGTAGGTTAGGTTCACATGCAGTGGCTTCTAAAATCCTTGTGTTTCAGTAATACACCAAGGAAGCAACACTTTTACATGCACTGTGGTACAGACAGTGAGAAAACCCTCATCGTTACAACAATGGACAGTTAAACAAAGGATAGTCCACAGAAACTAATGCATTATACCTCACTGAACTATCTATTAAACTAGAAAATGGGTTTTAAAATTTCAAATTGGTATTTGTAACATTCCAGACCTTTAAACTTAAACTATTGGACAAATAATTGACAATTTGTCATTGTGTTTCCCCAACATGAGGTAGACTTTACCACGATCCTGCTTTGTTTTCACCTGGGTTTGTTCTTTTTCCCAATCTTAAAATATTAAGATTAAATAGTTGAAAAATTTGCAAATTATACCACAGTTATAACCACAATATTTGTTCAATGCATCATTCAAGTTACCAAGAAGGTAATGTGTAACAAATTCCAATAAATGGGATTCTCTTACTATTTGTTACTTCTAACTGTAGCATGCCTAATAGATCCATTAACAATGTCTAGTTAGCAAAAAGACCATTTGAAGTGTGTAGTTATTTTGCTAATGTACATAAAAAGGAAAGCTCTTTCCCAAAACAAGACTATAGAAAATGTTGTCAATATTTTAGTGATTTAAAATTGCATGATTGTCTGACAGCTGCCTCGTTGTTATTTTGATGCTTTGTTTGAAATATTTTTCTACCATTCCTTTTCTGAAATTGTATTAAGGCTACTTTGGTACACTGAAGTGGATAATCATTTATGAGAGCCTAAACAGTGAGTTTTCTCAGGCTCTTCGATGAACTGCCAGAGGAAGTGGTAGATGCAGATACAGTTCCAATATTTAAAAGACATTTGGACAGGTACATGAGTTGGAAAGGTTTAGAGGGATATGGGCCAGACATTTGTGGGACTAGTTTAGTTTGGGAAACTTGGTTGGCACAGTCGAGTTAGACTAAAGGTTCTGTTTCCATGCTGTATGACTCCGACTTTAATTTAACCCAACTGTAAAGCACCTTTCTCATACCAACTCACAACCCACTTAATTGAATTGTGGGGTATCTTGGCTTGTCCTCACAGAGTTCACAGGGAAAGGACAGCAATCTTGAAACCACTGCCTAGTAGATTTGCCAATTTTAAGATTGCTCTGGCACCATCAGTAATTAGAGACAGACCTGGACATTGCCAACTAAAAATGAATTGTTGCTTAAATTTTACCTGAATACTTTTGTTTCTAGCTTTAAAATATTGGGCACGGGGAGGGGTTCTGGTCGACAGTCAAGAATAATATAATTGGGTAATAAAGAGTCAAATCCAGTTTCCAAATCAAAGGAAGGGTAGCACAAGGACAGACATGTTTGGCAATCAACAAAAGAAGTGTGGGGCAGGGTGGCTGGCAGTAGCAGGTTATTTGATGAGACCTCCAGGAATATATCAAATCAGAATTGGTATCCTAACACCCGATATAAAGCATTGTTGCAGGATAGGATGGTACAGTGTCTTATGTTCCAAAACGTTTTCATTTCTCATTATGTTGAGTGTACTTCTATTTTGTTGGAATGGACCCATTTTTTAAATATCAACAGCTCCAACTGGGGTTTCCTAAACCAGAAAAGATACCAAGCAGTCTGGTCTGGAGTCTTTCTGGCAGAAGTATGACTGACCTCAGAAAGTAAGGTGAACTTTTAACCTGTCCATTGATGGGAACATGGTTGAGGATGGTTTAAAAACAGTTGATTACTTACTCCTTTCTCCTACCATTTCTTTTCAGAGATGACAAAGATCTTCATTTAAACCAGGCAATAACCACAGGAATATTAACATTTTATAGTTTGTACCATTGCATTATTTTTAAATGAAGTGGTGGCAGTCCCACTCCTTGTCCCAGGAGTTCAAATTCAGGCCTGTGTATCACCCCCTGCCCAGGTTACAGCTCCCATGTCAAGGTTATTGAAATATACCATCTGTTACTTGCTTTCCATTAACCTGTTCTGGATGGTATTAAAATGAAGATCCTGATTTACATTTTTAAAATCTTATATTGGCAAAATTCTAATGTTCTTTATTGAAATTGTAATTTAATCGTGATGAAGAAAAATGTAATAATTGACTTATATGTTGTTGTAATGTTGAATTAGGTGACGACATTTGTTTCTTTCAAAATAAAGTTAATCTTTTGTGCTCTGTGTAGCTGTTTCTTTAACTGGTATTTTTTCCCCTCCTTTTCAGCCATCTATGATTCAATGTCAAAATCTCGTAGTTTTATGGGGCTATTAGTTATATGAGAGCTGCTAATTCCATGTGAATTTACATAGTGTGTAAGTGGACTATCAATCATACAGGAAAGCACAACAAAGTGTCTTCATGCAACACCCAGACTGTCGCACCTTCCTGCACTATGGAAGACATTCAAAACACAAAATCCTGAGAGTTTGCTGATCTGTGTGGATTAGCATCATAAACTACAATTATATTTTTTTGCTACATGTATCTGTAGCATAAGACCACTATGATGTCTAACACAAAAGAAACATCAGTTCTTTCTCACCTGGGCCAGGTTTGTTTTTTGAGGATACAGCAGCAGCCACAACTCCCATTGCCACTGCAAGATTGAAGAGGTACCAGTCCTCTAATTGGGCAGCAGCTTTTGAAGGCTGGATAACCCATCTCAGTGGAGCAGTAGCAACAAATTCAGGCAAGTAATTGCTACAGAAGATAGAGTTGGAGCTTCAGGCCAATAGATGCAGACTCAACCGTTGACTTTCCTGCTGGTGGGGAGGGCCACCAAGTCTATTAATTCCCAGCCTCTGTTATATTACAAAATCATATGGAAGTTAGATCGCAATTTCCATGACGAGTTGCAAGAGTGGTCTGTATTTGTTATCAAAGCACTGATTTTCCTCAAATTTGAAAATGTAATAGTCACCAGGTAGTCTAACCGTACAAACTAATGGATCAATAACCAATTGCATATGCAAACAATACAAATACAACAAAACTTGATGCAAAAAAAAGTGAAAGCAAGAGCAATTTGTACATTTGCCAACATAGTGATAGAGCAGTTTCCACACTTGGCTAGGTTAGTTTATGAACATGATATCTTTCAAGCCTCCAGTATCGATTGTAAACATGGCTTTAGTTTCATGAGCAAGACCAAAACCAAAACCAAGTCTCATAACACACTAAGCTGCCCTGAGAGACAAAAAAACTGCAGATTCTAGAATCCAAGGTAGACAAACAGGAGGCTAGAAGTACATAGCAAGCCAGGCAGCAGTCAACGTTTCAAATATAGCCCTTCTTCAGGACTGGATGTAGGGGGAGGGGTGGAGGTGGAATGGTGGTGATAGTTGGATACTGGTAGTAGGTACAACCTGGTTGGTCGATGGGCGAGATGAATCCAGTTGGTGGCTGGAAGGGAGGAGATGGAGCTGGGGGATGGATAGGAAGGTTATTTGAAATTGGAGAACTCAATGTTGAGTCCTCTGGGCTGTAGGGTGCCCAGGCAGAAGATAAGGTGGTGTTCTTCAAATTTGCATTCCGAGTCACTGTGATACTGAAGGAGGCCGAGGACTGTCATGGCAGAGGGGGAGTGAGGTAGGGAGTTGAAATGGGCGGTGACCGGGAGGTTAGGTTGGCTGTTACAGGCAAGGTGAAGATGCTCAGCGAAACATCCTGTTGTTCACTTAATATTTTACTTTTAACTTCTTATTTACTTGCATTGTTGGATATCTGTCATACATATTTATTGAAATTTTAAAACTCAGACTGCATATGGCTAGAAACAGAGCACTCAAAGTTGAGTTTGTAGCTGTCCAGTTCGATCAAAAATTAAAGGGAACATTTAATGTTACACCATTTAAATAATATCAGCCTATTAATATGATGCAGCGAAAGCTCATCTCAAAAAAAATTTTCCGAAAGCAGAAGGTTCCCGTTGAGATTAAGAGGATTTGAAAACCCAAATTAAATGATCTCTTTAAATTATAGTAATCCAGTAGAGGCTGGGATAGGAGAAAAGGTTGGTTGTTCCAGTGAATTGGCAAGGAATTGGATATGAAAACTTCACTAAATTCACTGTTAGTAATAGACTGGTATGACTAAATGGCCTGGACTATTTGCTATACATCTTTCGTAATTGTAAATTCTTTGCCTTACAGAAGATGCAAGTTAGTTTTTGACTTTCCTTACATTTCTAATCTGTGACCTTTGCTATAAACAGCAAAACTATTTATTGATATATTATGATACACAGATTTATTTGTATCAATATTATTGCCCAGAAAAACAACAGGTTTGATTATTCATTTATCTGCAGCACTGGTAAGCAAGGACTGAATATTTACAAAACAGTGAAGATTTCTTAAAATTTATTTATCCAAACCCTTAATGATGAGAGCGTGCTTGACACTATGTGTCTAGAATAGCTACCTACTTACCTATCATTTAAGCTGAGAACTGTGCATGTGTGAACAAAATGTGGAATCTATTCAAGGGAAAACACTAATCAAGTAAGTTTTAATTTTGATTTTCTTGTTTAACATAGTAGGCTATTAATATGGGCAGAAGATTTACTGTTTCAATTTGGACACTTTTGGAAGCACTTGCACATTTTATTGTGTTCCATTTCAAGTACAGGTGATTTTATCTTTCATGAAGGTGGTCTGCAGATTCATTAGATTTTGCTGCAACATTGCAGCTTTATAGTAGAACTGTTTTAATTTTTGTTTGATAGTTTGGGGTAAAGAGCTTTAAAATCTCAAAAGTATTTCATCAGTACTATCAAATTACCATCTCGAGAGATGTGGCAGAATCGGGCGAGATGTTCAGCAAGGATTATCTTGATGTAGAGATTATCTCACCATGTCTTGGTCGCTTTTCTCAAATCGGCATGGCAAGATTCTCACTAGGCAGTGGTGAGTTACCAGCTGGTGCTCATCACTGTATGTTAAATGCCTTGTTAACAGCTTAACGTGCCACAGGTTATGATCTTACTAAACTCACGACTCAAAGGAGCAGTCAGGAAAGCTCAACATTGAAACAACAATGGGTTCTTGTTGGGCTCAACTCTTTGCCAGATCTGCCGACTTTTTCCAACAATTTCTGTTTTTGTTTGTGAACATTTTCCACTCCCTGCCATTGTGGAAATGAAAGGAGATATGAAACATTTTTCCCCACTCAGTGGCAAAATCATGAAATAGCAATATAATTAATGAAAAAGCTTAAATATACAAGAGTTGGAACCTTGCTATTAGTGCTAGGGAAGAACGCTACAAGCTGCATTGGAGCCTAGATCTCTCAGAGGATCAGAAAAACCAGACAGGAGAGGTATTGCAAGATTTCAATGCACATTTTGAATCCATGTTAATATTATGTATTATCAGCAACATTAGTATATGGGGAAGTATTGATTAGTACGTGACTGCACAGATTATTCCAGATCAATCCTGAAATCATATTTTAATTGCTTAAACTCATCACAGATGTGTCTCGGACAGTCCTAAAACATCCTACTGTGAAAGCACAAAATGACTCTCAATAAATCTATGATATGTACAGAAGCTGAGGTCATTAATCATCAGCTAGAGTACATTATAGAAGAACAGGCAAGGTTTTGCATTAGACTAAGACACATTCTAGGCTAAATGAGAACAACAGATTTGAAAAACAGAATACCAATCAAAATTCAAGGCCAGAGGACAGGATGCAAATGTTGTGGGAGATATCACACAAGAGAAAAAGTATGTCCAGCATGGGAAAAGCAGAGTTCTGATTGCATGAAGATTAATCAATTTACACGTTTAAGTAAAGAAATATAATAAAAAAAGTTAGTTGTTAGATATTAGCTAATGCTTTTGACAAATTACTTTGGACCATACAACACTTTGGCATCATCAGATCAAAAGGTTAATGACTGATTTGAGATTATTAGAAATTTGACTGCAGGAGGAGAGCATCAAGTAAGCATGAGGTGTCAGACTGTAGTTTTGTGCAAGATCATGAGTTTCCACCAACCCATGTTGAGTGGTTCAGGATGGTGACCTAAGAACTGAAGCCCTTGAAAGCAGGATTGAAGCTTTCTGATGAAATGATACTCATGCCAAGAGGACATATTAGCTGAAAACCCAATGCATTGGGAACAAAATTGAAAGCTTGGACTAGTAACCTTAAATGTACCAGAAGAGATTTGTAGTAGTTTGCAGTCCACTAAGCCAATGATTGCTAGGACAGATTGAGGAGAACTACAAAAATCCTTTGTAAGTTTTGGAGGACTTCCTAGTGAATATCATCTCGAAGTGGATGAAATTGAGAGACCGATGCCGAGGAGAACTGAAGCTGCTCTCGGGTTTAGCCTGTAAGATAGAATGGCTGGAGAAAAAAGCGAGTAATCTAGAAAGGTGACAAGTGCTGCAGACTGGAACTGGCAGCACGGTAGCAATTTTTAAAAATCTGGCAAACAGAGCTTGCATTGATTGAAAGATCCAGATAAAGCTTTGTAGAGATTTCACTAACCTGTTCCAACCTTTTGCAATAACCTGCCAAGGCAAAAAGCTTCCCTACCTTGATGCAAGATGATTACTGGCAACTGAAACTGGATGAAAGCAGCAGTTTTCTAACTACATTCTGGATGCCGCCCGAGAGATTTTTCTGCATACTTTTTGGCATTCCCACTGTTCCAGACAAGTATCAATGAAAACAGCATGTGGTAGTCAGTCATCATCCCAGCGTGGAAGCTTATGTAGATGATCTGCTAGTCTGTAGGTACGGAGACCCAAATGGAAGAAGCCATCACAAGTCATTATCAGAACTGATTTATTTTACTTGTTCATGGGATGCAGGCAACACGGACTATACCAGCATTTTTGGCCATTCCCAACTGCCCTGGATGTGATAGTTGTAGTGGTGGTGAGCTACCACGTTGAACTGCTGTAACACAACAGCTAGAGATAACTCTCCAGATTAACCTGATACTGAACAAGAAAAAGATGCAATGAAAATGCCTATAGTGAAGTACGTACTATCTTTGTCCAGATCCAGATAAGTTGAAAGCTGTGTGGAGAGATGTCTTGGATTTGTTAACTTATTAGCAAAGTTGTCATCAGATTACAAACTTAATGCAAGCTCATTCTTTAAGACATGCAGTGCTATTTGGGCACAGAACAAGAAACAGTTTTCACTAGATTCAAACAACCAGTGATGACAACATCAACGCTGAATATTCTGATCCCAACTGATGGTAATACTGAATGTCAGATTCAAGAGTGACACCTAGCTTGGTAGACCGCAAGTTTCATTTTTACAACTTGGTTACTGCTGTGGAGGTGGTAGCATAGTGGTAACATCACTGGACTGGTGATACAGAACCCCAAGCTCTAATGTTCTGGGAACATGGATTCAAATCCTACAATAGCAGATGATGAAATTTGAATCCAAAGAAAAATCTGGTATTAACTTCATGGCGACCATGTTAGCCACTGTTAATTATGCCAAAAATGCATTTGGTTCACGACTGGAAAGGAAATCTGCTGAACTGTGTGAATTCAGGCCACAGTAATGTGGTTGAGTCTTAACTGCTCTTTGAAATGACACTTGCAAGTCATGCAGTTCAAGGGTAATTAGGTACAGCAATAAATACTGGCCTTGCTAGCAACATCCATAGCCCCGAGCAAATAAACAAACAAATAGCACTTCTCAGAATTACCAGATATCTCAAAGTGCTTAAACAAAAGCAAAATAAGCAGATGCTGGAGTAACAAAATGGAGGACGAGGTTCATGGTCTGAAATTGTTGAACTCTGTGTTGACTCGAGAGGTTTATAAAGTGTCAAAGTGGAAAGCCAGTTGCTGCTCCACCAGATTGTGTTGGAATATTCCAACACAACACTGGAATACTGCAACAGACCTAGGACGTAATGGATTGGCATGTAGAGCCCTCACCCTGATAGGATCTGTCATCTTCAACATCTCATGCTTCTCCTACAGCACATTTCAATACAATCACAGGAGGTGCAACACTTCCGCTTTTACGTCGTCCCTTCTCAAGAGCCCCTTCCATGTGAAGCAGTGCTTGACCTGTACTTCTTTTAATCAAGCCTACTGGATTCACCATTCACACTGTGGTCTCTTCCACAGTGGGGCAATCAAAATCAGACTGGGGACTTGCTTTGCTTAACACCTCTACTCTGTTTATGAACCTTCCAGTTGCTTGGCATTTAATATATCATCTCACTGTCATGCTCCCACGTGCACTACTTTCGATGGTATAAATCTCATCAATTTTCCAAAACTTTTCAGTTTCAACTAAACATCAAACTGGTGAAAATCTCTCTCCATTTTTGATGTCAAAATGCTTTATGGCTAATAAAATACTTATAAGGGTGGTCATTGTTGTAATGTAAGAATGTTAAGTAATTACAACACAAATAAATTTCACATTTAAAATGAATAAAAAAATTCTACAGCCAATTATATTAACAATGGCATTGTGAATAAAGCTGCTGTCCTTTTGTTAGGTTGTATATGAAATAAGGTGAATGAGCTTGTGGTGCAGATTGAAATTGGCAGGTACGGTGTGGTGGGCATCATGGCTACAAGGGGGTCAGGACTGGGAGCTAAATATTCAAGGATATACATCCAACCGAAAAGACAGGCAGGTGGGCAGAGTCATGGGGGTGGGGTTGCCTTATTAGTATGAAATTACATCAATAGCAAGAAACAAAGTAGGGTCAGATGATGTAGAATCTGTGTGGGTAAAGTTGAAAAACCACAAAGGTAAAAAAAGAACCACACAATCGGATTTATGTACAGGCCTCCAAACAATAGTCAGGATTTGGGGCACAAGATACACCAGGAGATAGAGAAAGGTGTGTAAAAAAGGCAAGTGATCATGAGGGATTTCAATATGCAGGTGGACTGGGAAAATCAGGTTGGTGGTGGATTGCAAGAAGAGGAATTTGTGGAAAGTCTACAAGATGGCTTTTTGGAGCAGCTTGTGGTGGATCCCACTAGGGAACAGGCAATACAGGATTTAGTGTTGTGCAATGAGGCAGACTTGATTCAGGAGTTTAAGGTGATTGAACCCTTAGGAGGCAATGACCATAATATGATAGAATTCACACTGCAATTTGAGAGGAGAAGGTGGAATCAGACGTAACGGTGTTCTAGTTGAATAAAGGCAACTACAGAGACGCGAGTGAGGAGCTGACCAGAATTGACGGAGAGGAGCCTAGCAGGAAAGACAGTGGAACAGCAATGGCAGGAGTTTCTGGGAGAAATTCAGGAGACACAGCAAAAATTCATCCCTAGGAAAAAGCAGCTTACTAAAGGGAGGATGAGGCTGACAAGGGAAGACAGGGACAGCATAAAAGTAAAACAGAAAGCATATAATGTGGCGAATGGCAGTGGGAAGCCAGAGGACTGGGAAGCCTACAAAGACCAACAGAAAACAACAGAAATAAGTAGTGAGAAGATTGAATAGGATGGTAAGTTAGCCAATAGTATAAAAGATTGCAAGAGGTTCTTTAGCTATCTAAAAGAGCAAAAATGGACATTGGACCGCTAGAAAATGACACTGTTGAAGTAGTAATGTGGAACAAAGAAAGGGCTGAGAAACTGAATAAGTACTTTGTGTCAGTCTTCATGGTGGAATCATAGAACCCCTACAGTGTGAAAGCAGGCTATTCAGCCCATTGAGTCCACACTGCCCCTCCAAAGAGCATTCCACCCACACCCCTACCCTATCCCTGTAACCCTGCAATTTTCCATGGCTAATTCCTGGACACTATGGGCAATTTAGCATGGCCAATTCACCTAACCTGCACATCTTTGAACTGTGGGAGGAAACTGGAGCACCCGGAGGAAACCCACGCAGACACTGAGAACATGCAAACTCCACACAGCCAGTCACCCGAGGCTGGAATCGAAACCGGATCCCTGGTGCTGTGAGGTAGCAGCGCTAACCACTGAGCCACCGAGCCGCCCTAAAAATTGGAAATTCCAAAGGTGAATATCACCTAGACCAGATGGACTACACCCCAGAGTTCTGAAGGAGATAGCTGAAGATATTTCAGGAATCACTGGAGTCAGGGAGAGTCCCAGAGGATTGGAAAATTGCTAATGTAACGCCCTGTTTAACAAGGGAGTAAGGCAAAAGATAGGAAATTACAGGCCGATTTGCCTGACCTCGGTCGTTGGTAAGATTTGAGTCCCTGTGAAGGATGAGATTTCTGAATACTTGGAAGTGTATGGTAAAATAGGGTGAAGTCAGCATGGTTCCAAAAAGAGGAGGGCATGCCTGACAAAATCTGTTAGAATTCTTTGAGGTGGTAATGAGCAGGTTAGACCAAGGAGAGTCAATGGATGTTATCTACCTGAACTTCAAGGAGGCCTTTGACAAGGTGCCACACAGGAGGCTGCTGAGTAAGATAAGGGCCCATGGTGTTAAGAAGGCAAGGTACTAGCATGGAGAGAAGATTGGCTGCCTGGCAGAAAGCAGACAGTAGGCATAAAAGGGTCCTTCTCAGCACAGCAGCCAGTGGCTAATGGTTTCCACAAGGGTCAGTGCTGGGGCCACAACTTTTCACTTTACATATTAAAGATTTGGATGAAGGAACTAAGGGCGTTCTGGCTCAGTTTGCAGATGATACAAAGATAGGTAGAGGAACAGGTAGTATTGAGGAGGCAGGGAGGCTGCAGAAGGATTTAGACAGTTTAAAAGATTGGACAAAGCGGCAGATGGAATATAAATGTGGGCAAGTGTGAAGTCATGCACTTTGTCAGGAAGAAGAGAGGCATGGAATATTTACTAAATGAGGAAAAGATTCAGAAATCTGAAATGCAAAGGGACTTGGAGTGCTAGTCCAGGATTCTCTTAAAGTAAACTTTCAGGTTGAGTTGGTAGTTCGGAAGGCAAATACAATGCTGGCATTTATTTTGAGAGGACTAGAATATAAAAGAAGGGATGTACTTCTGAGGCTTCATAAAGCTCTGGTTAGACCATATTTAGAGTATTGTGAGCAATTTTCGGCCCCATACCTCAGGAAGGATGTACTGGCCCTGCAGCGGGTCCAGAGGAGGTTTACAAGAATGATTCCAGGAATGAAAGGCTTAACATATGAGGAATGTTTAAGGACTCTGGGTCTATACTCGATGGAATTTAGAAGGATGACGGGGGATCTAATTGAAACATACAGAATACTGGATAGCCTGGACAGAGTGGACATTGGGAAGATATTTCCATTGGTAAGAGAGACTAGGACCTCAAGGCACAGCGTTAGAGTAAAGGGAAGACCCTTTATAAATGAGATAAGGAGAAACTTCTTCAGCCAGAGAGTGGTGAATCTGCTGAATTCATTTCCACAAAAGGCTGTGGAGGCCAGGTTATTGAGTATATTTAAGACAGAGATAGATAGGTTCTGAATTGTCAAGGGGATCAAGGGTTTCAGGGAGAAAGCAGGAGAATGGGATTGAGAAACTCATTGGCCATGACTGAATGGCGGAGCAGTCTCAAATGAGTCAAATAGCCTAATTTCTGCTGCTGTGTCCTATGGTGGTGAATGTGTGTATTAACATGCATGTTATACCAGTGTCGAGATGCAGGTTCACAATCCTCACGAGCTTAGTCAGAGGAAGGCATCAAGAAGAAATAGCCTGTTACACCTGCAGACTCAAGTTACAGTCAATAAATTGAACACAAGTTCCCTAATACTTAACTTGAAATGGAAGCAGACAAGTGGGGGAACTTTATAATGCAAAGAAAAACTCACATCACAGATCAACAGCACAAGGATCCAAATAAATCAGGCACTGGTCGAAACTCCAAAATAAACCGTATGCGTTTCAGATTCAGATTGTTGACCTGGACTTGTACAAAATTTTTTTGAGAAAGAATCATTCAAAAGTCATCTGAAACAATTTATTTCTGCACACTATACAGTAAATATTATAACTGCTTTTTAACTGTAAGCAAGTAACACCCTTGTAGGTAGCATACAGGAGCCTTAATTTGGTAATATATTGATAAGCAAAACAAGATAGCATTGCAATTTTTCTACTGTGCAGAGTAATAATTCATTAGTAGCTGATTTCTTTGAATCATGTTCTCAAATTCAACCTAACTTGTACAAATTGTCATTAGCATCTGCTCCAAATGAAGATTTTAAATTTTCCACCAAAAGGATTCCAAATGAAAATATTAACATATTCAGAAAAATAATGCGATATTCTATAATGCACTTTTGTCTCTGCATATGAAATAAAATCCATAAATATTGCACTCTATCAGATCAAATTTGCATTTTAGCCCTACATTCCACATTTCTTGCAGTTCTTATTTTACCTTTAAGGCTTGGTTTGGCAAATTAAAATATAATATAATTTGTGCATGTTCCTGTTGTAATTATTTTAGTTTTTCGTAAAAAGAAAGATTGACAAAGACTTGAGCTGCAACTAACCATTCTTTAAGAACTAGATCTCAGAAAAGTCCAAAAGCTTCATTGAAGAGCTCTTAAATGATGCCACGCCTAATGTTTGCTGATCTGCCTCCAGTAGACCTCCCTGGAAATCTGATGGTGTGAAATCCAGGCATTCCAGTTGACTGACCTGGCAAAGAATCAGTTGGATCAAACGGTGGTCTAAATGGAGGCAAGGTCCCTGGCATCGGTCCTGATCCGGGTAGAAAGCGATTAACAGGATCTCCTCTGTAAGGCAGCTGAGGATGCTCATCATATTCTCCTCCAATAACCCCAGGTGGATAAAACTGGCGAGGCTCAAACGGGAAGGGATTGAAGATACCAGGCTGACCTGGAAATGGGGGCAAAGCTGGTGGCAAATAGAGGGGAATTCGGTGCAGTGTTTTGCTCCTCATCACATACTTTTCCTTATAGAGCTTTAAAAAAAAAAGCAAAGGGTTGTGCTAAAGTTAGAACATCTGCACAAATGCAAGGACATAGAAAATACTGTAGTCCCTTTAATTGTCCATTCCCCTTTTAACTTAGCTTTCACCCTATTGCTATTGACACAAGCTATGCCTGAGGTGAGACAACAGGGTAGGCTTTCTCTTCCCAAGGTGGAACGGTATTAGGTTGGTGCAGTGATGGGCCCCTTTAAATGTAGAGAGGGAAAAGTCGTAGCTCAATTTGACAAATTCTCCCAATAACACTATCAAAATTAGGAACTTACTGACATTTATCAGTGACTAATGCCAGATGGAATATGGCAGCAAGACTATCTGCATTGCTTACGCCAAGAAGATTTTTTTCCTAAATTTGGATCCCACCATAGTTTTGAGAGAATTTTCAGTATTATCATTGACATGGTCATCTCAACAGCAAACTCTGGAGCCCTTGCCATTATGTGGCAGTGTCCCTGCTTCAATTTCTCTTTTTTCATTTGTGTCTCGTGCAAGGACAGGCAAAATTAGTCCTTCATCACCTGCGTAACTAGTCACTCTTTAACATGAGAGCCTGAACAGTAACAGATGATTTGGGTAGCAGGCAGTGGACAATCCATGTGAATCAGAGATTAATCCATCCTTCCTTTCAGCATCTCCTGGGAGTTCAATGGGAAATTGGCTGATTCCTCTCTCCTCTAACTGGCCTACATAAGTTGAGGCCAATTGTGAAAAAAATAGCATTTACATTCACAGAATATTTGAATTCCAGTCAGTCAATCCTGAACTAAAAAATAAAGTTACATTTTTCAATTAGAGGATTCTTAAAAAAAAAGCTCCACTCACTTCCTTCCAGTCATGACTGCTGGCTCGTGAATCTGTGTCAAAAACAAAAAGTTAGATAATCCTTAATTTAAAAGTGAACCAGCTGGCAAGTGACACTTTAGATGTAACTAAAAGGTTTTATTCATCCAGAAAAAAAGGCTGATTGAATAATTTACAACAGTCCCTTTAAAATCTAATTTGATATTTACAGTATACACACAAAGTAAGAAAAAACTTTCACTTATCTCACACCTTGTATGATCTCAGAATATCCAATGACAAATAATTTTACAGTCTATGACTAATAAATGACATTTATTTATTTTCTCTAAATTAACAACAGTAAGAGTGTGCAAGATTTCATCACTGAGCTCAGATCATTGAATTTAAAAAATATATATATTCATGGGATATGTTCACCCCCAATTGACCTTCAGAACATAGTGAGCTGCCTTCTTGAACTAAATGCACCCACAGTGCTGTTAGGAAGGAGGGGGTGGGGTCTACAATTTTGACCTACTGACAGCGAGGAAACAATGATATAATTTCAAGTCAGGATGGCATGTTGCTTGGAGGTGAATTTGTGGTATTCTCGTGCATTTGCTGTTCTTACCCTTCTAGATGGTAGAGTTGTGGGGTTGGAAGATGCTGTTTGAAGGAACTTGGGTTGGTTTGCTGCAGTGCACCTTAGAGATGGTAAACACTGCTACCACTACTTTTTAATAGTGAAGGAAGAAATTCTTGAAGGTGGTGCAAATCCAGCAGGTTGCTTTGTCCTGGATGGCAATGACCTTCTTCAGTGTTGTTCGAACTTCACCCATCCATGCAAGTGGACATTCTTCCATTATACTCCCTGCTTGCACCTTGTAAGTAATGGACAGGCATTTGGAACACAGGAAGCCAGTTACTTGCCACAGAATTCTTAGTATCTGACTACTTTTGCAGACACATTATTTATATTGCCGATCCGATTAAGTTTCTGGTGAAATGGCATCCTCCAGGATGTTGATAATGAGATATTTGGCAATACTAGCTTCATGGAGATCGAGGAAAGATAGTTAGATTCTCTTGTTGGAGATAGTCATTGCCTGGCACCAATATTACTTGTCACCTAGCAACCCAAGCCTGGTTGTTGACCAGGTCATGCTGTGTGTGGGCATGGATGGTTTCAGTATCTGAGGAGTGACTAATACTGCTATAAACATATTAGAGTTAGTAGTGCAGCAAATGTTATGTCCACTTTTTAATATGACAGTCATTATACTGTAGGATCATGTGCAACATTTCCATAAATGTATTATAACAACAGTGTGAGTTATCAGGCCACACAGCATTTTACCAGGTGCCCTGATAGGTCTTCCTGAATTTCAAGAATGCTAGCTCACCTCTGAAGTCCCTCAGGTATAGAAATCTCCAAAGTAGTTGGTCATTGGTTGCTGTGTAAAGATCCCGGCACACCGTTGAGAGAGATAAAATGGAAAGTACATCCAGGAGCCTGAAAATTCGCAATTTGAGTTCAAGAGGTAGAACCACAAGACCAAACACATCAGGGAGGTTCAAAGCTGGAAGAATTTAAAACATTATTTACAAAAAATTATTTTTGTACGAAAACTAAACCATACATTGTCCTGGAATTAAAAAGGCAATCTTTGATTCCTGATTCCAAACTAAAATATTGAGATGCAACAACCTGAACCAAAAAGGCATTTCTAATGTAAAACAAGCAGAAAGAAAAGCGGTTCGATTAAAAATCTGTAGGCTCTGATTCCCATTTCCCTAGACCACCAGATTTACTCCTGATATCAACAAGCCAAGGCAGTTCTAACAACTGAATATACACAATGCTCTTTATTAATACAAAGTACACTACAAATAATACTGCAAAAATTTTTTTACCCATGCAATACTTACAATCACAAGTGAACCCCTTTATATGGGTCTGTCTGACAATCAGCCCACTGTCTCAACCTCTAGTTGTTGATCAACTGACCTCCCTGAACTAGCTAAATTTTACTGAGAGACAAGCTGTTTTGTGTTTTTTCCATACAAAGAAGCTGTGCATTTTACACCCTTGATTTAATCCAGTCTCCAGTAAATGATCAGTTTGAGAACTGGCAAACGTCACTAATGTGTCACTGTTTTCCACATCAGTTTGATTAATTAACTAATTAAGACTTGCAGGTCTCTCATCGGAAAGAAGCTTGTCTCTTGCCCTTAATGAATTTTGACATAAAAAACGTTAGCTTGTGCCTGCTGTTTTCCACTTTTACATCATCCAATCAACTGTATATTTAAACAGCACAATTTATGATAATCACAAATTCAGTTGATAGTCCATATTACCACTGATGATTCATGTTTAAAAAAATCTTCAGGTTTTCCATAGTTACTGTGACACTTCAATTCATTACTCGAGTTGCAAGCTTGATATAAACACACACACATTCCTTCAGCCTAACAAAATCATTTCAAAAACGTGTGATTTTTCCAATTATTAGGTCATTACCAGGTTTCAAAGATTTCTCCTTTTCATTTAACTTCACTTTAGCTAATGCAGCAAATTTTAGGTTAATATCTAACACATTGCAGAAATATGAAAGACAGTGGATAAATCTATATGTAATTAATATTTCTGTATACTAGCACAGTACGTAAAATGAGGATATTCCCTGAATAACACTGCTGCCATTTGCTTTAATGTGGTTACGGAGAATGCTGTCTTTTTACCATTTAATGCCTCTTTCCCCTTGTTATATTTTTTCTTATGATGCCCATTCAGCACATCTTTATTTACCATGGTATTTTTTAGGAGCACATTAGGAATGTTAATTAAGGAGTTGCACTATTTATTTCAAATTCAAATAATGAACATACATGTAACTATTATACTGTTGTTTTTGCAGAATGATTGATTGAGATGCAATGGAGGTTCTTGTGAGAACAGACTTGGTCATATTTGGTCTGGAGGGAAGCATTGGGTTACAAAGCCAGCGATACACTACTAAAATTAAAACTAATACTGTAGCTAATTTTCAGCCAATCATTTCCCAAGAATCTTATTCAGCTTTCTAAAAATGAACATACAATGTTACAATTTATGGTGAAAGCATTGCTTTCAATTCAAATTAACATCCCTGTCCCTATTCATCTGCTGCCTCCTCTTTTAATGCTATATCAAGAAAGAAAGAGGCCAAGGCACTTACCTTGCCTGGCACTGGCAAGAAGAGGGTACACAAGTTGATCTTTGAACATGCAGGAAAGTTTTTGTAGATCTTTATACAGATTTGCGGCTTCGCCACCTTGCAAAGAGAAAGAAACATTATTGGAAACAATTAGGATGATTATAAGGGCTGATCTTAAATCTTGAGATTAGGTCAGAAGTGACATCTTTGTTACATTACCATTAGTGAGAGACTGTGATTACACAACACATTGTACAGAGAAACATGTGTTTGGATATATTTGAGAAAATAATCTCCATACTAAAAACAGAAGAATTTTATATGGAGAAGGAAAAGCATGAGAACATATAATCTGAAGCAAAGCACTGAAAAGGACACAGGAGACTCAAGTGCTTTTCACAAATATACCAAAGAAAGGGGTTAAAAACCAACTGTAATGCTGATCCACGTGCCCTAGCTGAAGAAGGGGTTCTAGTGAACTGAGGCACTAGTGAATGGTAGCCTGGATTTGACAGCTTGTGTGTTATGGAGAAGCTGACGCCAAAAACACACTAGTCTAAACATTAGAAAAGTACATGCTAGTCAGACATCTGCAAAGGAGCTCCAAGGTGCTACGTAAAGCTACTCACAATCCATTTTGGTTGGTCTTGCAGTACGCTTCACTAAAGCAGGTAACCTGACTTCTAACTGATGAAACATTCAATCAATAAACATGAAATGATATGCAAGAGTCTAATTACTACAGTAGGTTACACCCTTCCATCTGTGAACTTATGTTAAGGCATGCTGGTCTTGAATTTGGCAATTCCTAGTCAGTATAAATCCAGAGTATAACAATCTCTAAATCAGTAGAAAGTGACAATCCCATGTTGTACTAGAACAGAGAGTTAAGTTAATGTTGTTACCAGTCTTGTGGATATTCATTAAAAAATACAGGTATACTTTTGCACTTCCCATTAACGATGTCATAGAAACATGCAGATTTAAAAAGCTGTCTAAAATTCTATTACAGAAATTACAAACAGAACTTACCCAGTTTATTTAAATCAACGTAGGATGTAGGAAGCAATTGTAATCTCTTTACACTTTTGACATTCTCATTTATCTTCAGCGTGGCTGTCAGAAAGAGGGAAAACAGTTGACACAATCGGGTGTTCATGCACTCACAATCAAACTAAAGTTCTGAGGCCTACCTCTGAGCCAGGAGTTTTAAGTTCAAGTTCCACCTGTTCCAGAGGTGGGTCTTGGCATATCTAAAGAAGTGGATATAAAAATATCTACCGTAGAGCTCTAGCAGTATTCCATCTATGACTGAAAATTTCAACAATAAGCTTAAAAGGGCAGCATATTGGAGAAGCAGTACAACATCACTGAGTGGTGGGATACATGTTCAATTTTTTGCTGCCCAGAACACCAAAACTGGTGAGTAGTAAAATCTCAGCTGAATATTATGAAGATTCAGATGCTTATCTGGAATAAAGGAATGTCAGCTTAGCCTTTGGAGTAACTGTCTGCTCAAAACTGATGAACAAACCAGAGTAAGATGGGCTTTAAAAGCTCAAAGATCAAATTTCTAAGCTAATTATCATGGCACAAGGATTGTAAACAAGACACAGCTACAAATGCATACTTATAACTATTCCTTGGGCAGTCACTATCCACTTTTAAAAATGTCTCATTTTCCCCTCTTACGTTTATAACACACAATCTTGGATGACATTTCCGTTATCAGCAATCACTCGCTAAGAGTATGATTGCTCACCTACGAAATGCATGTCACTGGTCATGGATTCTGTGGGTCCTTGTGTGGCTGATGAGCCCAGCCCTAGAACTGCATCTCCAATCTCACATTTGACATTTCAGTATTGCATTATTGAAGGTGCAGGTTTCAGATACAAACTAAGACTCCATCCGTCTGTTGAGTAAATGCAGAAGATTTCATTTGACTGTTTAATGTAAAACAGGCAGGTAGTACCAAAACAGGTTAACAGGTCAATGTGCTCTCTGCTGTGTGCACAAATTCACTTGTATTAATATAGACTCCTCGTAACCTCAGTGTCCCAAAATATATTACAAGTTCTTCCCTGTGAAAAAAATGCTCTGCTAACTTTGTATAAATAAGTAAGCATTCTATGAATTCTGCAATGTCACAGTATCATCTGTTTTGCACGAGGATCATAAACTTTAAGCCAATTACATAGGTATGAGGAGACAGTTGGCTAAGATTGTTGGGTGAGCAGATGAAAATGTATGGCAATAAACAATGGAAAACACATAAAACAAAATTTAAAATGTTAAACAAGCATACATCCCATTGAAAAATCTCTGAGAAAGATCCACTTGTGGCATACAAAAGTAGCTTAAGGATAGCACTAGATTAAAAGGTTTATAATGTTGTAAAGAATAGCAGTAAGTATTAAGATTGGGAGTGTTCCTGAAACCAGCAAAAGGCCAACAAAAAGTTGATTTAAAAAAGGAAAAATGAAATGCAAGAGAAAACAAGACATGAATATAAAAACTGATATTAAAATTTATAGATGTATGAGGAGAATAGATAAAGTAAGCGTTGGCCCCTTAAAAGTAGAAACAGGAAGAAATCATGGGGTATGTGGAGCTAGCAGGAACATTGAACAAATGTCACGTACCTTTATTATAGAAGGCAAGATATATACCAGAGGTGGAAGGCAAACAAGGGGCTAATCAGAGTGAGGAAATTATTGCAATTAATATCAGCTAAACATTTAAAAGGAGAAAGTCAACAAACTAAAATCTTACAAATCCCAAGGATCTACACCCTAGGGTTTGAAGAGAGATAGCTGCACAGCTAGAAAGGCATTGAGGATGATTCTCTAAAAATCCCTAGAAAATTGGAGCAATTCCAGCAGGTTGAAAGCTGTGAACTGTAACATTGCTGTTCAAGGCAGGATCAGGAGAGAAACAGAGAATTACAGGTCAGTTAGCCTGGCATCAGCCACTGGGAAGATGCTGGAAGTCTTAACAATGCAATTAGAAAAGTACAGAATGATTAGAGCAGTCAACACCAAGACAAGCCTTTTCAAATGGGAAACACTATTCAACAAATTTGTTAGTGTTGGTTCGCAAATGTAACTAATGGAATGCATAAAATGAGAATAGCAGTGTACTTGGATTTCCAAAGGAATTGATTAAAATGTTTCATTTAAAGTTAATACACAAGATCAGGCCCATGGAGGTAGGTGCGATATATTAGCATGGATAAAGGATTAGTAAACAGAAAGCAAAGAAGGCATATGTGAGACATTCTGAAGATGACAGGCTTTGGCTTGTGGAGTGCCACAGGGATCAAAGCTGGGGACCTCAGTTACAATCTACGTTAACAACTTACAAGAAGAGACAAAGTAAATCATCTCAGATTGCTGATAGGACAAAGCTGGATGGGAGTGCAAACTGAGGGATAGAGCAGTTGCAAAGATATACATGTTATAAAGATTAAGTGAGTGAGCAAATGGAAATGATGCGAGGAAGCGTCAAGAATATTCTGTTTCTACTCTTACAATGAATGAAACTTTCAAATGTTAATTTGAGAGATGGATGTACTCTTACAAACATGACAAAAATTTAGCATACAGGTACAATAAGCAAGTAGGAAAGACATAGCATATAGGCCTTTATTGCAAATGGATTGAGGAATAAAGAGGTTTTGCTTCAATTATGGAGGGCTTTGGTGAGACTACATCTAGAGGACAGTGTACATTTCTGATTTCCACATTTAGGGAAGACTGATTCCATTTTAGGAACTCGGTCTTTACAGAAGCATACATTTCATAATTCTTGTAAGATCAAGTAGGAATTTACAATGTTTCATAGCAAGTAGGCAAAGCAAGAGAGCAAAAGTGAGTCTATTTTCCAGCAAAGATGAACAAGGCTATCCATTTGGATCAAAGGTTTGATTGTCTAAACATTTGTGTGTATATCCCAATCGAAAGGTCATAAGAAGTAAAACAATATAGGACATCTCATAAATGAATGGCATGTACTCCTTCCAAAAAGTTAGCATGCATTACCATTGACTACAACCAGATTTCCCATTGGGATGCAAGAGAGAGTAGCAGACCCATCTTCACACAGTGGGTGATTGTATTGTAGTCTATAGACACCTTCATTCTTCCATTTCTCAGGCATTTGGGAGATCTTCAGTCCAGTACCCTACAAAAACACAAAAGAGTAATACTTGTTGCATATCATTTGATTTCCTTCTCAGAATTCTTAGTAGAAGTTCTTGCTAAGGTAACCAAGTTCAAGCCTCAATCAACATAGGAGTGTAAGGATGATCTGAGCAATACTTCCAGAGAGAAGAGCCTAACTTCTATTTGTTATCTCTATTCATATTATACTTTAGGCTGAGAGTTTGCTTATACTAAATAAGAGATACATCTCATATTACCATTACTCAATACAACCAGCAGCACTGTCCACTTGAACTGGCAACTTAAAGCTTTTAAAAGTCATCCTCCACTAGCCCCATGTGACAAATTTAAAGGGTGGAAATGAGACAGGAACGAACCAGATTCTGTTGAGATTTCCTATGAAATGGTGGTCCTGTTCATTTAATACATGAAAAGGTGCCTACAAAAAACAGAGGTCAATGGTTTCACCTAATCAGATGGTAAGGAGTGAAATTATTTTTGCCGGATCGCACAATCATTGAATGATATACAGCATAGGAGGAAGACATCCAGCCTCAGGTCAAAGCTACAGTACAACCATACTGTTAATCTCACTCGCCTGCTCTCATATAGTATGTTATTTATTTCCTTTTAACTATTTATCGAATTCTCTCCTAATTGTTGTTTTCCTCATTTAGCAATTTTGATGTGTGCCTAAAAAACATACTAAGGAAAGTGACTTTCCCATATACGGATAAGGATGGGCTATATTGCTGACTTGTAACTTATAATTATAAAAAAACCTATTGGCAGCCTTGAACCGAACTATCCCAAAAATCACATACATAACTAAAGTATCCTTGTAAATTTACCTCCTACTCTCAGCTTCCAACCTCTCGGTACCAGTTCCGATTCACTGCCTCCGCTGACCCTCAAGCGAGGCTCAGGTGAGGGATGTCAAGCATGGTGTGGCAGCAGCAAAAGATCAGAAGAGGGAGGGGACATGACTGATCAGATGTGACAGGGAAGTGGTGTGAGGTAAGGTTAGGGAGGGTTGCAGAAGTTTGCTTTTAAAAAAATCTACATGCACATTAACCATGCTAAAATGAAAACAGAGCAAACACTATTCGGGAAATATGCCCAATTTGCAAACTGTGATAAAATATTTTCTTTTACTAGAAACAGTGGGTACCTATATTGAACCTGCTTCCATCACCCTTTCAGGCACTATTCCTGATCCTTGTCTAACAAAATCCTTCTGACTCTGAACACCTATACCGAATTTGCTTTAACCTCTTGTTGCTCAAGATGGTTCAGGAGGCACAATGTAATTACGGTACATATCTACCTACAGAAACCTATGAGAATTATTTTTGGTACACTGTGATCAACAGAGTGACTTCCTGAGTTTGAAAGTATTGAGCCCACCATTGTCTGCAGGGAAAACATCCTCTCAAATGGCACCACCAGCTGACAGCAACAGAGCACTCCCACTGACAAAAGACTTCAAAGCAAAACTTCATGCACATCCCATAATTGCTACTGGAACGCATCTCACACCTGACAAACTTATGACAGCTCCAACTCTCGAAGGCACACCTCCTGGCTGACTGCAAACATTCCCAATCCAATGTGGTAATTGACTGAGTGATATCTCAGGTTTCAACATGCAATGTAAAATCTGGACAACACAAACACTTGGGGACAGGCCAGGGTAGAGGCGGCCACTTGCTTGACAAATGGAATACAAGGAAAATTGCTAATTGTGACTATGTCCATCTATAAGATAATAAAACACAGGAGCAAAAGTAGATCATTCACCCTGTTGAATCTGCTTCCTATTTGGCAAAAGGTAATGATGACATAGCCCAAAAGGACCACACGCTCTCTGTGAGAGAGGGGGAGCGACACAGAGGGAGGACTGGTAGTGGTTTAACTGAGGATCACCACACCTCAGGCAAAGGGACAGGATGAGATGGACAGTCCTTCATGGTAACTTCCGCCGCCTTAAAATCATGGCTGATCTGGTAACCCTCAACTCTACTTTCCTGCCTTTTCCTCAAACCCTTGATTAACTTACTAACTTAAAAATTATCTTATCATTAAATATACTTAATGACCCAGCCTCAATAGCCCTCTGAGTAAATAATTCCACAGATTCACTACCCTCAGAAGATATTCTTCCTCATTTCGGTCTTTTCCTATCCTCGTTATTAATATACATTATAAATGATTGTGGTCCCAGCACTGATACCTGTAACACTCAACTAGTTAAGAGTCTCCAAGCAGAAAATGTATCCTTTATCCCAACTATTAGTTAGCCAATCATTTATCCATGTTTACATACTACCTCCAACAACTGGGTTCATATCTCATTAAAGTAGACGAATGTGTGGTACTTTACCAAATGCCCTATGAAAATCCAAACATAATATATTCACTGCTTCTTCTTTCTCTCTCCAGCTTGTTATCTCCTCAAAGAATTCAAATTGATTGCCCCTTCATGAAGCCATGCTGACTCCACTTGATCATATTATGCATTTCGAAATGCTCTGCTATTGCATGCTTCATAATACATGCTAACATTTTCCCAATTTCAGATGTTAAGCGAACTGGTCTATGGTTACTTGTGATTTGGTTCCTTCCCTTTCTGAATAAAGGTGTCACACTGACAGTTTACCAATCTTCTAGAACTTTTCCAGAATTCAGGGATTCTTGGAAAATTACAACCAGTGCATCCAAAATATCAGTAGCTATTTCCTTTAACATCCTAGGATGCATCCCCTCAAGTCCCAAATCAATCCATTACCCATGAACTGAAACAAAAACACAAACTTCTGGCAAAACTCAACAGGTCTGGCATTATCCAAGGGAAGAAAGCAAGGTCAATATTTCAAATCTGCTGACTCTTCATCACTGCTAGCAGCTAAGGAAAAAATGGTACTTATGCTGAAGATGAGGTGTGGGGGGTGTAGAAGAGGAGAGGCGAATGGATGGATGGAGACCGAGTCCAGAGACAGACAGAGAGAGAGAGAGAGAGAGAGACAGACAGACAGAGAGATGAAAGGGGTATGGAAAAAAGGAGATTATGAATAGTAGATCAGGACAGTAGTCAAGCTGAATAAATGATAAGAGCTAAGAGTAGAGAGAATGGGTGAGCTGCAGTGAAAGCAACCTATATGCAATAATAGGCTGAGGAGGAGGTGAGATTTGGTGACCGTGCTAGAAGTAATCCATGACATCTCTACCCATTTGCTCATCTCTCCCTTCACCCCACCTCACCTTTAGCATAAATACCACTTTAAATGCTAACAGTTCTGATGAAGAATCACTGGACTCAAAACATTGACTCTGCTTTCTTCCAACGGATGCTGTCAGACCTGCTGAGTTTTGCCAGCAGCTTCTGCTTTTGTTCTGATCTCCAGCATCCAGTTTTATCCATTAACTGAACTTCTGCCCAAGATCCACTTCAGGTTACATCACAACAACTCATGTGCCAGTGGAAGCCCTGAAATGGTTTGTTAGCCTCAACATCAAATTATAACTGTGTCTCCGGCCGTATAAACCAAAAATCTTCTCTTTTCCAAGGAAAGCAACCCTGGCTTCTTCAGTTTCTGTACATATCTGAAGACTTCAATTACGCTTAACACCCAGAATTTAATCAAGTAATCCATCTAAGGCATACCCAGTGTTTTAGAACAGTTCAATATCATGTTAGTGTTCTCTGTTGCTCTTGGAGATTCTTGGCTTTATTAACAGCCTTCTCAACTTGCCTGGCCGCTTCAGTATTTGAGTACATACACTATTTTCAGTTAGGCAACAACTTTGTGAACTTTAGTTCATAATCTAGACTAACCATTTTGTGCAGTAGAGATGGGGCTCATTGTAAAGTGTTGTTGCCCTGCAAATAAGCCATGAGCACGACTCTCATCTGGCACTTGACAGTATTTTGTCTGAATGTTAAAATATCCAGTGGCAAATTTGACAAGTAGGGAATGAGTCGTGACTAACATTCTTCTCTCAATTAATATTATCAAAATACAAACTGGGTTATATGTAAGACTTTGTACCTTTGGGCCAGAAGTCCCATGAATATCCCAGATATTTGTCATATGTGTCAGATTGATTAAAAATATCTACAGCTCAGTTACACAGTCATAGTGTCATTGAGATGAAACAGACCCTTCGGTCCAACTTGTCCATGCCAACCAGATATCCTACATAAATTTAGTCCCATTTGCCAGCGTTCAGCCCATACCCCCCTAAACCCTTCCTATTTATATACCTATCCTGATGCCTTTTAAATGTTGTAATTGTGCCAGCCTCCATCACTTCTTCTGGCAGCTTATTCCATACACGCACCACCCTCTGCCCCTTAGGTCCCTTTTAAATCTTTCCCCCCTCACCCAAATCCATGCCCTCTAGTTTTGGACTCCCCAATGGTGGTGAAAAGACCTGGTCTATTCATCCTATGCATGCCCCTCATGATTTTACAAACCTCTATAAGATCACCCCTCAGCCTCTGATGCGCCAGAGAAAATAGCCTTAACCTATTCAGTCTCTCCCTATAGCTCAAACCCTCCAAACCTCGCAATGTTCTTGTAAATCTTTTCTTAACCCTTTCAAGTTTCATAACATTCTTCCTGTAGCAAGGAGACCAGAATGTCACACAATATTCCAAAAGTGGCCTAACCAATGTCCTGTACAGTCACAACATGAGCTCCCAACTCCTATATTCAATAAAGCCAAGCATACCAAATACTTTCTTCACTACCATGTCTACCTGCAACTCCATTATCAAGGAACTATGAACCTGCACCCCAAGGTCTCTTTGTTCAGTAACACTCCTCAGCACCTTACCACCTGATTTGCCTTTCCGAAATGCTGCAGCTCACATTTATCTAGATTAAACTCCATCTACTACTCCTCAGCCCATTGGCCCATCTGATCAAGATCCCATTGTTCTCTGAGGTTACCTTCTTCGCTGTCCACTGCACCTCCAATTTTGGTGTCATTTGCAAACTTACTAACGCACCTCGT